AGGTGACTCACTGCTGGGCGGTTTTATATAGTGTTACCATAGGGAATGACCTGGAACAAAAAAAAAAGGCAACATCAGTCTTTTCGTAATTGGCCTTGGGCATGGAGAGAGCGGTATGACCCTTCAGGGGTGAAGAGACTCCTCCATGCCACTGCTGTTCCGTGCTGCGCAGTCAATAGAGCTCTTGATCACGACAGGTGGAGAACTGGAAGCGGAAGGCCACAGAGACGTGCTCAACCAGCAACCAGCTTCTAGCCGCAGGTCAGTAAATAAAACTCCACTTGTTTAAGCTGAAGCACAAAAACAGAGGGGCGAGGATAGATGATGAGTGAAACTAGCTGGGGCAAACAAAAGAAATATTCTGCCTCCCAGCGGGAGGGGCTAGCATGGTATTTAACACCAGTCTTCCTGATGCTCTTACAGGACTTACACTGCACTGTACTTTAGATTCTCCACATGGAAACTTTTATCCAAATCAGAGATGTAAAAACTAGAGTGCAAAACATCAGTAACATCTGATGTTACTAGCAAGAAAACAAGGAAACAAACAAGTTGGGTACATTTATACAAAGCTGTAAATTTAGTACACATGTGTTTTCCATCCCCGCCTTTGAGCTTTAGTCAATGCAAATTGGTCATTGAGATTCCCCCCCCATCATCTGCATTTGTGTATCACGATCATCGCTTCCTAAAAAATATGCTCAATTTCATGATCATCCACGAGGCACCAACAATGAGCCCTAAAACTGAGGCTAAAACAATGGACGCGGTCCTAGACATCTAACAGGATTTTTCTTTGTTTGCCCCTCCAGCTAGAAGAAAATCCAAGGAAAATCAGGAAAATGCAGAAATGCCAAAGGTTTGGCCAGTGCATGATGAAGTTTAGGTACTAGGGATCAAATGACAATCGGTTCCTTGTTTTGGTTTTTCACTTTGGCGATATGAAACATACAGCATGCTGGCATGTTGTTTTGTTTGCACCCTAACCTAGTTTGAAAATTCTAGCCAGAATTGGGCTTGCAATCCATCAAATCCTTGATGAAAAACACGCAGATCATTTTATGAAGGGCACAAAACAACATCGCTACCATATGCCAGTCTCGTATTTGTGGTTCCACTCTTCAGTGTGCTGTGTCTTTTGTTTTGTTTTTTTTACGAGCTTTATTTCACTTCATCTTAAATGAAATGTTGAAACAAGCTCACTGGTTTGTTTTAACATCAAACTCTTTGAGGGCTTTCTAATCAACCCTTCCTGGTTAAAAACAACCAGATGCTTATTTCAATCTCTCAAGCCAGACCATTCCTAGAATTCCAAGCTTTCTATATTCCAATTACTACTGAGGCCCTGCAGAGGACCCTGTGAATTTTATAGTAGAGTGCTGTTCCCTGCCTGTTACACATGAATTGCATTTTTAAAAGTGTACTTCATGCGTTACAATTAGTTGTTCTTTTACAGTCCAAAACAGATCCAAAATATGTTGCCTACAAATGAAAGATGAATCATCTCTCATCTTCCAAGCACTTGAAATTAGTTGAATCCAAATTGTTTAAATTCATTAGTTGGAAGGACTGCTCTCAGTCACTTATTTAATTGGCTTGTTCTTCCATGCAAAATATGTGTGGAGAGTGGAGAAGTGTGAAGTCTTTTTGGTAATCATTCTTCAGTCATGTGTCTAAATGTTGCCTCTGGGGACTGATGGGAACATAAACTGTGCAATAAGAGTCACAGGTGCTTAGTTGATAATGCCTTGAAATGAGAGGGCCCTTCAGTAGGGATCATATCACTTACAATCAGCATGTTTCCCATTGATCTCCATCACTGTCTGCAGGCTGGCTAGTCAAAATGAGCAGCCTTTTCTCCTCAGGCGATTTCTACACCAATTAGCCATCACAGTCCTCAAAGGGTTAATGTGCTCCAAACTGACCTTCCCAGTAATTCCTTTTTTCCTTTATCAGAGGAACAGCGGACTACTGCTGCCAATATTCTAAGACTAATTCATGGTAAGCATACACTCACACGCTAATGTATAATTAACCCTTTGAGAGCTGGATAGCATCGTGTGTGTTAAATGTGCTAGTCTTCAGGAAGACACAGTGAACAAAGGCAGATGCAAAAAGCCTTATGTGATAAGTCTCATAGTGATTAAGTGAAAAGAAGAACGAACGAAAGCCGAAATCCTGTTTCTGTAGTTGTAGGGTGTATGAAATGTGTTCTGCATGAAAAGAAGTCTTGAGGCCCTCTGTCAAATGTATGGCTGGCTGCTGTGTTTCAGATCCCCTGATCAGCCACATGGAAATGGTGACAGAGATCGTCGTCCCCACTGTGTGTACCCTCTGTATCCTGCTCAGTGCCGTGTTCCTCATGTTTCTTCTCCGCAGACGCAACTAGATGACCGCTACACCAGGGTCACTGTCAGGTGGCCAACTGCATACAAAACCCAGCGGGAAAGTCTCCAATTCACAGTAAAAAAACAGACACACTAAAACTCTTCTGACATTTGTGTAATAATGTAAGAAAAAAAAATAACCAGCAATATAGTCTGGATATATATATATATGCAAGTGGTGGTGCTTCTCGATATTGCTTTTCTTTAGGGTACTTTTCATGAGTAGCATTCCTGAAAGTCCCAGCGTGATGCGTTTTTTCCTATTTTTTTTTAACTAAACAATGCAGAGGCAAATTTGCCAAAATATTCTGATTCCAACAAGAGTGACTACAGGTTTGGTGTCTGATGTGAGGTAAATCAAATTGGTTTCTTTAGAAAACAGATCTTGCTTTAGCTGAGACAACTGAACACAGAACAGCTTTGGAGAAATCCTATGAATGACAGTTTTTTTTTTAAATGACAATAACCATTGCATGTCAAGCTATTCTAAAGCTAAAATAATTCTGTATACTGTACATGTATATCTCAGAGGAACAAGAAATGGTGAAAACAACTGTTTTAAATTAGAAAACTACGTTCCCTGTATGTTATGCTGCATTACAGTGTTATTTAATAAAAAACAACACTTATTCATTATTGGAATTAAATGATTCTTAACATACCTTTGAAATCAAGTAAAGCTGACTTGGCTACAGCTGACGACTGTGGTGAAATACATAGGCTCTTCATTTTCTCCATTTACAGTGACTTCAAAGGGGACATCTGCAACACAATCAAGGATTACCGGTCAGGTCGAACGCATTGAACCCCACAGTTCACCTACTGCTGTGGTGGGTATGCTGCAGCTGGTGGTGGACTGTGCTGCAGTGTGATCAATGGCCAAACCCAAGTGCGGGTTTCGGTGCGCAGCTTAAGATGGCACAGAAACACTGCAGGGTGGCAGGATCAGGAAGTACAAGTGGGAGTTGATACAGGCAGGATAAGTGGACAGTTCACGAGGAGCTTTCTTCAAAACAAACCAGGCTCCCAGCCGAAAAATAATAAAGAGGGGAGGCTGGTGAGCCAACGCTGAAATACAGATTTCCAGAAAAGGGGGAAAAAAGTACAAAGATAAAAGGGGAACAGTGGTACAAAGAAAAAGGGAAAAACCGGAAGAAAATGGGGCAAAGAAAAAAATGGTCAAAATAAGAAAGGAAAAACCAAAAAGGGGAAAAGGGGAATCGCTGTATCACAGCGCAGAGAAGCAGGGAAGTGTTGAAGAACTTTTGTTAAGAGAGAGAAACAACTGCTCGCGCAGAGGATGAGGCTCTGCTGACAGAGCAACAATACAGTGGTTCGAAATAATTAAATATGGAGTCTAATTAAAGGGATTGGGAACTAGATAAGGAGCCTGACTGACAAAGGGTTGGCTTCATTGAACAGCTGTTGCCCGGGTCACCAGCAGGAAGCAAGTTGGTCCCGGCCCGTGTATTCCAATTCAGCAACATGACTGGAAAACAAGAATGGCCACGTGCAAAAAGACGTGATCCCTGCTGCTAAAATGTTATGTTCCAGAAAAAAAGGTTCTTCTAGACTTAAATTGATATTAAAACATGGCTTGTGTTCCATATGCATCGCCCTCAGTGCCCACAATGGAATTAGTCACAGTAAAACCCTCACTGAAATACAGCCATCAGGGAGTGAAGCTCTGCTGTGTCTTGGGACATGTGCCCCCTGGCCTGTTACCTGCCATGTTGAAGGCCACGTGGTCCACTGGGGGCTTGTCGCTGAGCTGCCATGTGGTCTTCAACTCCTGTGGCCCGTGGCCACTGGACACCTCCACTCTCCAGGTCTGAGGGTGCTCCCTGAGAACAGGACAGGACAGAGGCCCACTCAGCAGCACCCAGCACGAATGCAACCTCGGTCTGACCCCAGGTGACCAGAACGTGCAACTGTGGCTGGACGCATGTCAGATGTTTTATTTATTCAGTGTATATAGGAAACATCTACAACGAGAGAATCTGAACCCAAACCTCACAGTAAATAATTCATGAAACAAAAGATTAAAGCTCTGGTATCAAAGGCATCATCTCCAGACCATGCACTCAGATCATTAGTCACCACCTCTGTATGAAGACGTGACTGGCATGTTCTGGCACTGGTGTAGTACTCTGTTCTATGCTTTTACAGTTACCAGCTTCTCTAACCCAAAAGTCCCCATATAACAGATCTCTTACTTCTGATAGAAGCTGCTGATCACTGTGGGTCTGATCTGCAACTGAAACGAGTGGTCTTCGTCATATGGGTGTGTTTTGTAAAACTGCAAGCAGGACCTTAAAAAAAAGAAAAGGCATATGCATTTGAATGTCCACCTGCAGCTCACTACCTGAAGCTGGATTTATTAAGGCCTGACACTGAGAGACAGGTGAATGCTGTGCCATGCTAGTGAGAGGGAGCACTTTAGAAGTCCTCACTGTGTCAGAGGGAAGAGGTGTTGGTGTGAGAGGCTCAGGAAGGTACTGCAGTTCACCACGATCTCCAGCAGATGGTGCAGTTTCTTCAATCGCTCCACCTGCTCCTGAAGATCCACTTCTGAGCTGAGATAATAACTCTGGAAGGAAAAACAAGAGCTCCATCAACAATGCTGTTCTGAAACCTACATTATTCAATTAATATATATATCAGATTCCACATCTTTCAAATTACAAGACTTACCAGGTAGTTTAATGTTGAAAGTTCTTGCCCTGAAATAAAAAAAAGTTAACAACATCTGAAATTCAGTTAACAACATCTGTTCTATTTTTACTCTGCTCCTGCTTTTGTATTCTTTATTATTGATAAAGTTGAGGCACAGTGATTTATGATGTTTGTCACAGCCATAATGAGGCACGCTATGTAGGAAATCAGTGTATAACAATAGTCGTATGTATACCAGTGGCAGTCAAAAACTGAAGTAAGAAGCCCCTATTGCCCAGCATTTTGCAAGGTTAAACTTTGATTTTCAGATTCATAAAAAATAAAGCATTCTGTACATAGCATCGACCTACATACTGTATAATAATTTGCAGCATGCAAAACCTGAAATGGTTCAGAGTGCAAAAAGATAGGCCTGCATCCCACAGACACTTTACCTATGAAGTAGTTGATGTAGTCCTTCCTCATCTTGTCCAGGCCCACCTCCAGCAGCATGTGGACTGGAGTCAGTCCAGTGAGAGAGACAGAGCCCATTTGACCATGGTAGGACTGCAGGACCAGCTTACTAAGGGAGCTGCTGCTGCCCCTGTGAATCTAACAAGGATTAACACATCACACACAGCTCTGACAATACGGCTGTGCAACTCAAGTCACAAGGACATGAAGCGTTACAGCGAGAAAAGAACATTCAGCCCATTAGAGCATGTGAATTTCTTCATGTAAAGAGCTATATAAGACCCTGCATGTAATCAAATCCATAAAAAGTTTACACTTCTTTACATTAGCCACTAACAGCGGCCTCTCTTTGGAACCGTCAATATCGCAGGACAAGGTGTTTATACATACCCAAGGCTGAATGTCACCAAATTTCAAGGCCTGGATTACCAATGTTAGGCAGTCCACAATGTCCTGATAAGATGTAACGCCTGTGAGAGAAAAAGAAAACTATAACTTGACATGGCATTGAGTTGTTTTATAGAAAGTAGCAGATGTGCAATGTTTTAGAATGCTGTGACATAGGAATGCTCTTAAGTACTGTTTCACCTTCACAAGTCCATGCTGACCCCTTTCACCCACTTCTTAGTTATCATTCCAATCCTTGAAGGCTACAATACAACACAGCTTTATAATCACCATTAGAACAGAAAGGTTCAAAGGAAAAGAGGCCATTCGACCCATCTTGCTAGTTAACTAATCCGAAAATTTCATTCAGGCGTTTCTTGTTCCAGACACCCACAGCCCAACCCATCAATTAAGTAATTTAGGGAGCAAACACTTCAACAAAAACCCAGTCCCTTTGTTTTGCATTATCAGCTTAACACCTTGAGTCCCCAAGGCCAAATGCCACAGTTCCTGTTTCAATATAGGTGACATACTCTTCCTCATTTTTGACCACAGCTGCTCTACGAAATCCAGATCTCCCCGCTCCGTGAGGAAAGCGATCCGGATTGAGCCGTCCACAGTGTTCGAATCATTCATCTCTTTCTTTGGCTGTTACAAAACATGACAGAGTTGCATGAGTACTCAGACCTGTAGTCAGACCGAAGAAGAAAAGCATAATTTTATTATTTCTTAAACTTACCTCTTTCTCTTTCGCTGATTGGTTCTGAACGGACTTCACTTTATTCCTTAGATCTACCATTCAACAAAGAGTATTCAAGATATTGAAAAAGACAACATTTATTTTACTGGAAATGAAGTCAGCATAGAGTAAGCCTTTGAAATCATAACAGAGGCTGTGGGTTCAAATCCCTGCTGCAGACACTGCTGTTGTACCTTGAGTGAAGCACTTTACCCCTGTGGCTCCAGTCCACCCAGCTGTACCAGAGGGGACCAGCATGTCTGGGGGTGATCCCTGTGGTGGAGTGGTGTCCTGTCTAGGGGGGAGTCACTTGCTCTCTAGTTCTCTTACCCCAGCAGAACCCAGGATGAGCTCTGGCCTGATGAGCTGCTGTGGCTCGGGTATAGACGTACGTTAAGATAAGACTTCACCTATCACGACTTACAATGGCCTCTTGAAGAAATCCATTTATACAGCAGTGCATTTACTGGGGCAAGTTTAATTGACATTCCACAAGAGATGTGAACCCACAACCCACTTTTTGGAGCCCTAAAGAGTATTCCTTACAAGTCGTGCAAAAAGCACTCAGGAATAACTCCGTACAACGCAAAAGCCCTCACTTCCAGACCTTTGTGGCCATTTAATTACCCTCTATAAGAGCCTTGGTGAGCTCCACAGCTGGATTGGTTTCAAGCGGTTCAGGCCACTCTGTTACGCCTGTTCTCAAGCCTTCAGCTAAAACCTGCCATTGGCGATAAAGAGGAAAAAACAAGCACAGCAATTAATTTTAGTGTAAATAAATAATTAGCAAAACAAATTAGTCAATATATGTATAAGAAGTGAAATGTAAATACCTCTAGTATGTAATTCCCTTTGATCCACATTTAAATAAACCTCAGTACATTTTAGATTAATTATTTTCACCAGTTTGAAAGATGCACATTTCTATAACCATTACATAAAAATACTTCTGACATCAGGGACGATAAATATGTAGCGCAGGCTGTTTAGTCTGAGAGGGGCTTTGAAAAAGATGCAGGTTGTCTCTGAACACGCTTGTTTTCTACATACTTGGATGAACTCCAGCTCCTTGTACAGCTGATACACAGGGCTCCGCATGTCTCCACTTGTCACCTTGATGTTCTGCATAAAAACAAGAACGTAAATGCAGCTTCTACTCTTCTTGGCCCCAGCTGAAAGCTTCTGGCATGAAAAGTGCTAAGGAAATGCAAGTTATTATTAATACAGTGCAAGAGTCCTTACTGAAGTGCCTCTGTGATTCGAATCCACTATTTTCAATTTTTCCCCACTCAGGATTTCCACTAAAACTTACATTCAAACCACCTTTAGAATACCAGGAAAATAATCATTGGTTTGTGCTGAAACTAGAGGAAATGGCTGACCAGGGTGGCGGTGGAGGTGAGTGGGGGTGTCTGCAGGATGCTCTCGACACTGTTCCAGGTGAAGTCCACGGTCACGCTGCTCTGGGACTCAATCACGGTGTTTTCCACCACGGTGGAGCCAAACAGGTCGTACTGCGCACAGCCCCTGGTCGCCACCTGCAGGCCAGGCAGAACAGCACGCTCTTTAAAAACCCTGCCTTTCTGGAACCAACGCCAAACTGCAACTTAATCCTGAGGATTTAATTCGATTGCTCTGACTGAAATGAGTATAACAACAAGTGATGAAAGGATTTACAGTCGATGCGTGGTGTCTGCTCTTGTGAGCCTGTTTCAGTTCATCCAGGGTAATCAAAGTTTCTTTTCTCATGGCTGGACCTGTGGAAAGAAGACTGACAGTAAATAGTTTGAAGTGAACTTATTTGGCCATTTTGATGACACACAGAAAAGAATAAAAACAGAACAACCAGAAGAACATACCCGTTCTTTAATTACTTAACTTAATTCTAAACCATTTTCTAACCCACTTTATCCAGCACAGCCAGAACTCACAGGAGAAAAAGGAAGAAGGCAGGAGAAAAAGGAAGAAGGCAGGACACACCCTGGAGGGGACGTCAGTCCATTGCAGGGCAGACACACACACATACAAACACTCACACCAGACCAGTTAACCCACGAGGATGATTTTGCACTGTGGGAGGAAAAACGAAGCACCCTGATGAAAACCTAAGCAAGCAGAGGGAGAACATACAAACTCCATGCAAACAAGTAGTAAAGAACTATAGAAACATCACCCCTGGACCAAAATTGAACCCAGGGCCCCAGCACTGCGTAGCAGCAACACTAGCCACTGTGCCGCCCAAGTTACTTAAGTAGACTTTTTCTTCGAACAGAGTTTTACTTTTAACAAATCTTTTTACTCAGCTCTGTGCAACTGCGCCACTCAGAGGCCTCTGCCGACGGAGCGCCAGCTCGGGTGTTGCCATCAACAGCCCCCAGGTGTAGCGCGTGACCATACCTTTGCAGGTGACGGTGTGCAGGTTGACTGCAGTGACTTTGCTGCCACTCCTGATTGCGTCCGCGCCCAGCCAGCAGGTGCCCTCGGGGTCAGACATGTCGCAGCGCACCCACAGGGGGTACAGGGCTGCACCCGGCTCCCCTGCGCCCGCCAGCTGCGGCACGTTGGGGTTCTGAGACAGTACGTACCGCGAAATCACCTGCCTGCAAAAACAACAGCAGGACACAGATGCAGGCTTCCCTTTCAAGAGCTGCTGAATCTCCATTCTTGCATTTACATTATTGAAGAAGCACTATGAGGCTGTCCCACAAGAGGACGTAACAGCAATAATAACTTTAATAAGAAGTGAGAAATGATCTTCAAAATGAAGAAAGTCTATCACACTAGTGCACTTCGGCAGCGGGATAAGTCACTAGCTCACGAGATTGTTGCTCGCCCTGATAATCCCATTTACGGGTTGTTACTGTAAATTGCAAAAACAGTTAAGCAAAGCTTATTGTATAAAAACAGGTAAAAAAAAATATAAAGCATGCCAAATGCTCAGGACCTGGCTTTGAGAACAGAGAGGGGCAGGGGTGTCACTTCTTCATCTGTCATAAGCAAGGACGCATTGGGAAGACAATCTCCCACATTTTCACCTTCAGAGGCAGGAGTTGGAACCTCCAAACAAAAAAAAAACAATCTCAGATTAGAATCTCTCAGTATTTTACCTTTTTTCCCCCCACAACTTGTTTATTGTGCAATATATCTATACTGTGCAATACATCTTCTTTGTGCGCTGTACATTCTGTTTTATTTTTGTATATTCTGTATTATTACACTGTACTGTGCTGTCTTTGCCTGGCTGCTGTTGCACTGCAATTTCCCTCACGGGATCAACAGAGTATCTATCTACTCCGAAAAAAAGGACAATCTCGCAGACTCCAACGTGTCATAAAGAGGACCAATTAAAGCAAGTTTCAGCACGCGTGGCCTGAACAGGGCAAACCAGTCAGGTGCCCAGGAAGCCGGCAGTAGTACGCACCGCTCTCTCACAGATGAACGCGGGCTGGTTCCCGCTCCAGAAGCTGCGCAGCGGGCTTCTGCTTCCTTGGCCTGTGATCTGGATCTGGAGCTCATCCTGGCAATTAAATACGGTGTGTGGAAAAAAAAACAGGAAAATATTCAGTCAATCAATGAATGAATCAATGAACTGAAAAGGGCCGACGGTGCAGGCCTCAGAGTGGCCAACGGAAGAGGAGACAGTGCTATGAGACAACACAAGAACCCAAACGAGGATAAATAAGACATTAAATACATACAGAGTCAAAACAGAAGCAACACGTGGCACAGAAACTACCATGCTAAACCATGCTACCTACTAATATGTTATATACCACTTGAGCTGTAGGATTATTAATAATGTCTGCTATTTCAATAATGTTAGGAATGTAACTAATGTCACTGTCACGGCCATTACTGAAGGACATATTGCTTGAAATCCTATAAATGGGTCAGGCTCGATAGTTCAATACATGGGTTGTGTGTGGCTCTCCGTAATATATTCTGAATTAGCTATGACAGCCATTTCCAAACACAAGGGTTTTACCTCATAGAAGACAGGATCTACCGAGTCCTTCCATTCCTCTTGATAACCCCTTAAATGAAAAAAAAACCAACAAATTCATTGCATTTAATTAATTAAAACATGGTCATACCCATGAATTCAACAAGTCAGTATCAGTTGGAAATCTGCACAACTTAAGAACAAATGAATTTACGTGAAGTCTGAAATCTGAGCTGTGAACCCCTAACAGTTCCTGAGGACAACAGTGTCGTGGTTAACACCTCTAACATACATACAGCTCCAGGGTCCCGGGTTCCATTCTGGCCTGGGGTGCCCATGTGAACAGAGGTCTGGTTTTATCCCTTTTCCCAAAAACACACAGGTTAGGAGCCGGGCTGATCGGTTCCTCTATACCGACCTTTCCTGAGGGTGAGGGATTATTCTGTTGATGCTTTTAAATCTCACCTTAAAATCATGTTTTCACTGGCCTAAATTACTCTTCTATTTCTTTCTTGAATTTCTCATTTCTACATGGATTTATTGTGTTGTCTGTGCCTGTACATTTCAGATGTATCATTTATGTAAAGGAGAATACTCTGGACTGAAAGGCACTAAACAAGAGTAACACTAACTGATTGGTGGGGTTTGTTCCACGTACATCCAGGACTGGCTATTGGACTACAGAGAAGCTGAACCAGAGGCACTTGATGGTATAATTGTTATACTCTCACACCCTTTTCAGTCCTGGAAAAATAGTGCTTTCAGAAGTCAACAACATTTTAAGCAAGTATGACACAAACATCTAACTCACAACCAGGTAAAACCTGTAGTCGTAGAATCCAAAATCACATCAACAGAACTACGACAACCATTTTACAGTTAAACTGCGCTTCAGTGGGTTGTCAGCGCGTTTTAAACTGGTTCGGGTGGGTAGTAAATCTCAGGTAATGTACAACCGAGATTATTACAAATAATGCAAGTTAATTTTGAAATATTTTATGTCCCTTTTATTAACGGCTGTACAGATAAAAGCTTTTTAGAGACAGAATGATATTTTTATTACATGTTCTCTAGTTCCAGCCGGACATTTACTGGAGCAGTTTGAGTGAATTACTTGTGTCAAGGTTGTAAGAGAACCTTCCTATTTGATCCCACGACACTGCGTAAGCACTCAATATATTAAGACACAACAAAGATCGGAATCTGGCTTTTAGAAAATAAAACTTTTTTGGCGATTCGACTTTCATTCACAGCAAAGCACTGAAAACATTCAATTAGCAAGGTATCAATATCGCAACGAGTCCAGGATGATATACAACATCAATATTAAAGGAAAGGTTTACAGGTATAGCTTCCGGGTATGGAATTTATACAATTGAACACTATAACTTAAATGACACTTTCTACAAGACGATTTGTTTTCAAAACTATGACATACAGAAATAGATGCTCTAAGCAACACATAATAACAACTCACAAAAGAAACTGAGAGAACTTCTTCGTTTCGGTGATTATCTTCATTACCATCTTTACTGTCTTTCAAATACAGTAATCTTTGCAATAATATTTTATTGTATATACAAAATAACTGAACAAACTAAACTACAGCCACAGCCCAGAACACTACCTGCCTGATCCAAACAGCGCGGGCAACAACGTCATACGTACGTCACCAGCCCGACGTCGAAACAAAGAAAATAGTTTTTCTTAAATATTTATTAGATTTATTGAGTGTATTTCAAGAATAATTTGATTTAAAAATCAAAATAATAAAATACATTTAGAGCGAAAATATATTTATTTGAAAGTAGTTCGGATTTCCGGAATTGTTCCTACGCCAGGAGAGTGCCCTGAGAAATAAAATAGTCCATGCTTTCCCGGAAAGCTCTTTTCTCACTACATGAAAACAAAAAAGGAATAGGTTATCGTGTTTAAAAAATAAGTCTTAACCGTTCGCGGCTTTAATTGTGACAAAGAATTTGATTATAGGAGCGTAGGTGGCAGAAAGTGGTCTTGTCGGAAGTCCGTCAGTGTCGGATGTATATACTGTCAGAGAAGTGCTTTCCTCTTCCTTTTCTCCTGTGGCCGCCATCGTGTGAGGAGTGTGGTTCCCGGCGAGCCGAGATAGTCGCTAATCAAAAATGGTCAGTAACGTGTAAAATATATTTTGGAATGCAGCCATATCGGTTTAGCTTCTGTGTAGTGAATCCTAAAAATTGATATCGCGACGTTATTTAGTACAAAGCTGGCGTTTCGACTCTCCCTGTGAGGGAAGGAGCCATTTTAAAACGTTGCTGCATGGACATGTGTCTGGCCGAGACGGCGTGGGGGAGGGGGGTGACACGCTTTATCACGGTTGTTTGGTTTAAAACTTTCATTCCAAAATCACATACTTTTATAGAATGCCGTGTTGGAGTCCTCAAATAATACGCTTTCGCGAATATAACATTAATCTCCCAAAACATAACATAGCCGACTGCTTCATCCCTTTTCGTATGAGGGGGTGTTCACAACAAGTGAAGTTTTAAAGAACTTTTAAGAACTCGTTTTTCTGTTTTGTGTTGCTTCGCGTTTTGATTTGTTGTGAAAATCCTAGCCTTCCTCCTAGGCTGCTGCGTGTTAACAGTACTCTACTGAACTCCCGGAGTTTGTACATTGTACTGGCGCCTAGGTCTCAGAAAAGCAGCAGCACCCGAAGAGCTATGGGAAACTGTCAGATAGGTCCAGTTAAACCAATAAGAGCTGTATTAACATGAAAATCTCCAGGAAGTCTTTTGGACAGCCCTGGAACATCGTATTCATGTTCTGTTTCTCCTCCTGTGGAAGTTGAGAAAGTTTTGTGGCACCCAAGCTGAGCTGCAGTTGATCTTACATAGATCACTAAGAATAACCAGCTGGTGTGTGTTTTTTTTTGTTTAATGGGTAACACAAGTGTACTTTGCAGTGATGGTGTAATTTGCGTCTGACCCTGAGCCCAGCGACAGTTTGCCTGCTGTCACCATGCTGGCTCAGAGGGCTGACGAATACCGAGTCTGAGCAAGTTCACTGTGTATTGCTGCATGTGAAGTCATTTTAGTACTTTTTTGTTGAGACATCAGGCTTTCTACCTACCGTTGGTTTTCAGTATCAAAGCTGCACTTTTGGCAGCGGTTTATAACGCAGAAGACCAAAGGTTTTGGCATTGTTGGTCAGGGCTGCGTGTTGTAATCTTAAAAGTTTTTTTATGACTGTCTTAACAGCCCAGTTAAAATGTGGTACCCTGTGTCTACAGGCTTGCGCCAGACCGTTGATTTCGGTCTACTCCGAGAAAGGAGAGGCCTCGGGCAAGAATGTTGTCATGCCTGCCATCTTCAAGGCTCCCATCCGCCCGGACATTGTGAACTTCGTTCACACCAACATGCGCAAGAACAACCGCCAGCCCTACGCCGTCAGTGAACTGGCAGGTGAGTAGGGCGGAGACAGGTGTTGGGCATTGGAGGCTTCATCCTGGTAACACCAGTCTGTTCAAAGAGACAACTCGCCCATCCTTGGGACAAAAAACAAACAAACAAATGCTTGCCATTGGTATTCTTTCAAATAAAGCACCACATTTTGGGGTGGTGCGGTGGGCCTGTGTCTGGAAGGTTGCCGGTTTGTATCCTGTGGCCGGCAGAGGAATCCATTGGGCCCCTGAGCAAGGCCCTTAACCCTTAGCCATATAAATGGCAGACCCTGCGCTCTGACCCCAAGCTTCTCTTCCTGTCTGTGTGTCTCATGGAGAGCAAGCTGGAGTATGCGAAAAGACAAATTCCTAATGCATTAAATTGAATATGGCCAATAGAGAGATCTTATCTTATTTTTCCAACATAACCTCACTGTGGTAAGTGGTTTCTGCCCTTGTCTCTGTTGCCACATGATTAAAATATTTGATGGGCCTCGGTTGGATCCCTCCCAGAAGGAAAAGCTTTGCTGATGAGACTCCACTTCATTGGTCCGTGTTTTTGAAACCCGTGATAACGGTGGAAGTTCTGATGAGCTTAACCCTACAGGCCACACTTTCCTCTTAAGTGTAGCAGTGCACCAGTTAGAGCAGCCTGCTACTCCTGCTAGCCTGTAGGAAACCTGCAGGATTCAGCCTTCTCTCTATCTCTCAGTCTACTTGACTCAGGTGTGATGCTACGACCACAGTGTGCCTCAGTAGTCACTTCGATTAATTGATCGGTCATTTCCGCAGCCTCTTATGGCCTTGTCTGTTGATTGATCTCACACAGTTGAAAGACATGAAAATAAAGGTAAAAACTGGAGTGTGATGTACAATTTGCCGAAATTCTGATGCTAGTTCAACATAAGGCTTGCTTTTCGTATTGCAAAAATAAGGATTGAGGGTTCCCAACTGGTTCCTTCACATTCTGTATGTCAGATAGTAAGAGCCCTGTTTTAAGCTAAGGTTGTAGCTTGATTCTCTTGGTTTGTTGCAGGTCACCAGACCAGCGCTGAATCCTGGGGTACCGGCAGAGCTGTGGCTCGAATTCCCCGCGTGCGTGGCGGCGGCACGCACCGTTCCGGCCAGGGAGCCTTCGGCAATGTATCCTTGCTCGCCATCACTTCGGTGCACTTTACTGCAAGCTGGAAAGGGCATAAATGTGTTTAGATAGCTCTTTTCTGGTAAAAATGTGGGCCTGTGGTAGGTAAATTAGGGAGGCTAATCTAGCAGAAGCCCAATGGATGTGGAGAAGCTATATTGAAAACATGTCTGCAGTCAGGAGGCTGGGATAGGAGCTAGACGTGGCAGGTGCAAGATACAGCCAGCAGTGAGGGAATTTATAGGTTCTTCACATCAGGGAAAGTGTCAAGGAGTTCAAAAACGCCAGCAGCCATATCACCCTGAAACTCACAACTGGCAACCCACTGAAGCTAAGCAGGTGTGAGCCTGGTCAGTACCTGGATGTGAGACCTCTTGGGAAAAACTAAGGTTGCTGCTGGAAGAGGTGTTAGTGGGGCCAGCAGGGGGCGCTCACCCTGCGGTCCCTGTGGGTCCTAATGCCCCAGTATAGTGACGGGGACACTATACTGTAAACGGGCGCTGTCCTTTGGATGAGACGTAAAACCGAGGTCCTGACTCTCTGTGGTCATTAAAAATCCCAGGGCGTTTCTCGAAAGGAGTAGGGGTTTAACCCTGGCATCCTGGCCAAATTTCCCATCGGCTTTTATCAATCATGGCCTCCTAACAATCCCCCTCTATAAATTGGCTTCATTAATCGGCTCTCCTCCCCACTGATCGCTGATGTGTGGTGAGCGTTCTGGCGCACTATGGCTGCCGTCGCATCATCCAGGTGGGTGCTGCACATTGGTGGTGATGGAGGGGATCCCCATTACCTGTAAAGCGCTTTGAGTGGAGTGTTTAGTAAAGTGCTATATAAGTGTAAGCAATTATTAATTATTAAAAATGACTTTTTCCTATTAGGGAGAGGAGAGGCTTGCAATGATGGTGTAATTTGCGTCTTACCCTGAGCCCAGCGACAGTTTGCCTGCTGTCACCGTGCTGGCTCAGAGGGCTGACGAATATCGAGTCTGAGCAAAGTCTACAGTGTAGGACAGTATTGCTGTATTTATTAAGGAGACCACATAGGGTATATGCCCTGCCTGTTCTATCTCGCTGTACTCTTTAATGCCCAGTGATTGCACATGGGGCGAGATCATGTGCCCAGAGGCTTGCCACACGAATACTGTGTGTGTTGCTCCTTGACTCTGGCGCAGATGTGCCGCGGAGGACGCATGTTTGCCCCCACCAAGACTTGGCGCCGCTGGCACCGCAGGATCAACGTTACCCAGAAGCGCTATGCCATTTGCTCTGCTCTGGCAGCCTCTGCTCTACCTGCTCTGGTCATGTCCAAAGGTGAGTCCCTGCAGGTGACCCTCTGTGCATTTTACAGTAACGAACAGATCTCAGTCCAGAATTGCTTTGTGTAATTCCATTCACTTTTTCATCGAAAGATCGTTGTGTACAAGACGGAACAACAAATGCCAACTTTGGAGAAATGTACCATGCTGGATTTTACCCCATTGCTTTTCAAGACTGTTTTTGCACATAAACAGTTAACACATCTCCCAAATTTGCTAAATAAAATCCCACTAAGCAGGGTTAAATCAGTTGTATGCTCGGTCTGGTGTATCTGCGTTGTGCAGGAGAGTTTTATATATACCTAGACTGTGTGTGCAAATTGTTACTTCTCTTGCTGTGATGGTGTAATTTGCGTCATACCTTGTGAACAGCGACAGTTGCCTGCTGTCACCATGCTGGCACAGGAGGCTGATGACACTTCATTCTGAGCAAGATATACTTGATAATTAAAACTGATAGCAGTTTGGCTGGCTGCATTTAAGAAGGCACCTTCTCTGTTATGTGGACTTAACTAGAATCTATAAGTAATTCTGACTAGTTTCTCTTGGTTAATTAGCTCAGGATGGGAATTTGAACTGTGTGGCTACATAGTATGCTCATAAGCTAGTTCTTATAGCTAGAGTTCCGACATGAGTCGCATACAGTGGGTTGTACTGCTTTCTTCAATATGCTTTTTACCAATGTCTATTCTTGGTTCCTCAAATCAAGTAATATTTGAACTGAAAACAGATGATTGAGGGTGACTGTTATCCTAATACGTTAGCATCCTGATACACGTGTGGGATATTTCCTAATCCCAGATTGTTGGCGTGTGTGATCCATCACTGCAGAGTGTGCCATCGGTATGTGAGCCCTGTCTGCCTCTGCAGGTCATCGCATCGAGGAGATCCCTGAAGTGCCCCTGGTGGTGGATGACAAGGTTGAGAGCTACAAGAAGACCAAGGAGGCTGTGCTGCTGCTGAAAAAATTAAAGGCCTGGAACGACATCAAAAAGGTCCGCAGCTGCTTATTGTGGTATCTGAACAGTTAGGGATGTTTTGTTATAAAATTTAGGTAGGAAACAAGGTCTTGTTCTCTTTTACATTCACTTGTAATTAGATTGTAGTTCTGTCCTGTGCTGGCCAGAATCGAGGATATTTTGTACGTGTAGTGTTCCTCAAAAGGTAATGGGAGAAGCCTACAGCATTTAACAGCAATTAAAACCTGTGTGATTCAGAAAAGGCTGCCAAAGGTGCATTTGACCCAATTCAGCTATGTACTATGATGCCGCTTTTCTCTCTGTTGCGTGATAATGGTCAGTGGTCGTACTGTGAAGTACAGGTTGCTCCTCGACAGGCATGACCCTGGTGTTATGCTTTCTTCAGGTGTATGCCTCCCAGCGGATGCGTGCAGGAAAGGGAAAAATGAGGAACCGCCGGCGTATCCAGCGCAAGGGGCCCTGCATCGTGTACAATGAGGACAACGGAGTCACCAAGGCCTTCAGAAATATCCCTGGTGTGTTCACTTAGACCACTGTATTGACCCCTGTGGATTAACAGGACTAAAGGTGTACTGTTTTGCAACATTGTCAGAGTCTAGCTCGTGCATTACCAGTCTCGGCGCTTGTACTGAACAACTCCTAAACCTCAACCTATGTTGTGATGCTACACTAGAAGGAATGTTCCTAGTTGCCAGGTAGTTATTGAAATCCCAGGCTGTTCTTGGTGTGTTCTCTTTCAAAGAGCTGCAGCTGTGATGAGTTCCCACTTCATGGTCCGTGTTTCTGAAACCCATGATTTCAGTGGAAGTTCTGAGCACTTTCATCTCCAATCCCGGCACTGCCGTAGGAATATAAAGGTTACAAATGAGAGGAGGTCATTTCTACTTTTACTGAAGTGGTGACCAGGCCTAGCCTTGCTTGGTGTCTTGAGATCTGCAGAGATTGAGTAAGAAGGTGCTAACATGGCCATCCCTTAGTCAAAACTGTTGTTGTGATGTTTTTTTTTTACGGTGTACCATCTGGGCATTAGATAATGGTCTCAGTAGCTGAGAAGGGCATCTTTTCATGTTTTGGTCAAAGCTTTAAGAAGAGTGCATTGCTGTTTGTTGAACTCTTTAGTTTTGTTCTACAGCTGCCTGTATTCCTCTCAATACAGACCTTGCACTTTGCAGGTAATGAGGGTTTAATAACTTCATATGTTGCATTTTTTTCCCAGGCATCACCCTGCAGAACGTCAACCGGCTGAACCTGCTGCGCCTGGCCCCCGGTGGCCATGTGGGCCGCTTCTGCATTTGGACAGAGAGCGCGTTCCGCAAGCTGGACGAGCTGTACGGCACCTGGCGCAAAGCTGCCTCTCTCAAGGTCGACTACAAGTGAGTGTGTGCAGGCGTAGGGTTTGGGGAGGGGTTGAGGTGGAGCTGGCCATTGACTGAGGGCACTAGCAGAAGAAGTTGTCTCTCATCAGCGTTCTTCTCTGGTTCTTGTAGTTTAGTCATAGGACTTTTTTATTTATATATATATATAGTCATAGGACATAGGCAATTTATTTTCTGCTTTGTTGTTTACTGGCAGAATTGTTTCCTCCACTCTGGAAGGGGTGATAACATTTCCAGTTTTATGCTAATTTAAAAGGTGCTTGGCTTTTTATATTAATAGTTCCTTTCATCTGTGCTTCAGATTTAAAACCAACCTTCTCTGGTGTTTATATTGCCACAAAAACTGTGATGAGTTTCCACTTCATGGTCCGTGTTTCTGAAACCCATGATTTCAGTGGAAGTTCTGAGCTTTTATTTTCGTGTTGGTGTCTCCAGATGTCTGAGGTTATCTCTACTGTGACTTCTTTGCAGTTTTAAACTACTTTTTAGGTAGTAATGGCAGAGGAATGGGCCTTTGGTTTCCCATTTTCTACATCTTTTTTGGCTTTTGCTTTTAAGTGTTTTAACATTGCTTTCTAGCCTGCCAATGCACAAGATGACCAACACAGACCTGAGCCGAATCTTGAAGAGCCCAGAGATCCAGAAGGCCCTTCGTCCTCCCAGGTAAGAGTTGTTTTGTATGTTTAGGTCTTCAAGTTGCAAACCCTGACATGGCGTAAAGTGCACAAGCTTTCAGTGGAATGCAATGGTTACTCTTACCAGCAAAGCTGATGGTCTAGCAGCTGTGTAGCAGAAGCGCATCCCTGCTTACCTGGTGCCAGCTGGCGGAAGTGTTCACCTCCTGTTAAGAGGCTGTGATGAGTTTCCACTTCATGGTCCGTGTTTCTGAAACCTGTGATTTCAGTGGAAGTTCTGAGCCCTGTATTCCATCTCCTTACCGGCAGCTTCATAATGGAATGAATTACCTAAGGTATTATTTTATTCTGACTTCCTCTAGTAGTCAAAATCGTGTGCTTCTGCCTTGTGCCTTGCATGAAAGATCTGAAGTGCACTGAGAAAACATTGTCCGGCCTGTGGTTTTGTGAGCGCATATGTATTTAATGTTGAAATTAGTTACATATTGCCTCCTTTGTGGTCTTCGTGAGTTTTGCCAGTTTATCTAAAAGCATTTTCACTTTTTCCTGCAGCAAGAAGATTCACCGTAGGGTGCTGAAGAAGAATCCTCTGAAGAACCTGAGAGTGATGGTGAAGTTGAACCCTTATGCCCAGACAGCAAAGCGCCACGCTATCTTGCGTCGTGACCCCACCGTGAGTATACTCGTTATTGATTTAGAATTAAAACGGTACAGCATCTGGACTCAGCCTTGTTTCTCTCTGCATCATTTCAGTGGTTTTTATTCCTTGTTTGCTGAAACTAAGTTTTAAAGTGCCTTGAAAAACTTTCTGTAAAATGGCAATATCTTGGTTCCTCTGCAGATCAAAGCCAAAATGCTGAAACCCAAGAAGGCAAAGAAGACTGCAAAGACAGAGAAAACTAAACCTGCAGCCAAGTAAAGTCCAGTTTATACAGACAGTGAGAGGCAGAATTTCCATCAATAAACTATTGGAAGAAAAACTTTGTAAACTTTGGCTCTTTTTTTAAGTCACTTTAAAAAAGTGAAAAGAAGTAGGTAAAATACCAGTTTAAAGTCTGCTGGAAGTCCTTAGTTGAAATACAGAGATGCTGCTGGAAGCTGGAGTTGAGTCTTGCGTATAGAGTTTGTACTACACAAGCCAGGAGACTTCAACAGATAAACCATCAGTTTATTTGATCACATTAAATGTTTAAAATATTTGCGTGACTTTTCTTAAAATAGCAAAAAAAAACACTGGGAGTCTTGTACACTTAAGACACTATACACAATTGTTTTACAATATATTCTCATCTGCGTCTTTTTTTTTTTAAAGGAAATGGGTCTGTCATTGTCATCTGTAGGTGGGAGAGGCGAAAGCAGAACAGTGCCTTGATTTGGGGGATTTTGAATCTAGGCTACAGATTGACATGCCTGAGGAAGAGTGCAGACCTGATCAATATGGTCAGAAATATGGCTTGTGTAAGATGCTCAAGAAAAGGAGAGGCAGCGAATAGCTATAGCGACCAATCTGACAGACCCTTTTCCTTTAAAAGACTGAAATACATTAATAAGCGGGAGGTTGGGGGGCCGGTTATTTGAAGCACACATGCAGCGATGGGTGGCATACCCCCTTTTCCTCTTACACCCCTCCGGTGTGGGTGGGAGTACTGGGCTGGTTCAGGCCAATCGTGCTGCAGAGCCACCCTGCAAAATCCACCTCCTCTGCCTCCGCCCGCTTGATGAAAGCATGCACCTAGGAAGTCAAGGCACACAGTGGTGAGAACGTCCTTAGAAAGTGGTTAGTGTGAGTAAAGTTCCCACTTGGACTTTAAAGGGGAACTGCAACTTTTTATATTTTGGGGTTAGAATGAGCATTGATAAGTGTATTTCAACCTGCAGTAAAAGTAAAATGTACACATTAACATGTTAAACCTCCATTTCACATAAATAAGAATTTTCAGCCATCTATTGCACAATATTCTGACAAAACCTCCGGTGACGTGGGGCCCCTATGACATCTCTTTTAATCAGATAGGAATATTGCTTTTGATTTCAATATGGTTTCACCAACAAATACTGTTAATTCTACATGTAAATCACTGGAACATTTATGTGGTGAAATGTCTGCTACACAACCTGTACGTTAGTCATTATGGTGACTAGTGAGCAGCAAGGGCAGCATCATGTTGCAGTTTATGGGAACTCAAATGCAAGTCTGTGACATGGAGATTTACAGTACTTTCCCAAAGTTCATGATTTTGTGCTCAGTGTGGAACTTATTTTGACACTGAGGTTTAATAACCAGTCTCAGAAATCTTTAATGCTTGGTTTTTAGCATTTCTGGAGAGGTCTTGATTTGATGGCCCACTTGATCTTGATCCACTTGAAGATGAAACTTCTTCTGTCTTCAATCTCAAAACCACATGTTTTGGGGAAGACAAAACTTCCCATTTTTATCCCCATGTCAAATGATAGAACCAGTTGGAAGTTTTTAACTTTAACCTATAATTAGAAGTGGGGGGCATGTTTTCCCAGAACCCCTTCATCATTTCAAACAAGGGAAACATGGTGCACATGTGATTAAATGTATTATAAGCACTGTATGACAGAATCAGGATGTGCTTTATTAACATATTACAGAACCCCTATTCCAAGTCTGTTAACCCTCCTGCAGAAGTTAAATCTGAAATGCTACAGCACTGATGCACTGAATATTGCCATTGCAAAGCAACATGGTTTCCTTAAACTGCACTCAATACAAAAAAGATCTCTGCATGTACCACAGCTGCTGCAGAAATGCTTTTAAGTAGTGTCTCTATTGCAAATAGTGAATAGCATTGTAAATAGGAAACATTTGAGTGTAAAGCCCATTGTCCTAAATCATTCAATGATGGCCAGTTCAGGATGAAATAAACGCTTACCATGAGCTGTTTTAAATCTGCTCTTTCTGCTGGATTCTTGACCAAGCTGAAAAAGAACCAAGCCTTTACAATTGACAGTATAAAAATGACATGATCCCCTCTTTGTTTCAATTCTCAAAGTCCAAACTATTAATCGTTCTGTGTGCCTATTTCTACAGGCATTGCATGTTTTCTGGAAAATGCTGATATTCCCACGGTTTGTTACAAAACTGATTCTGGAATTGCTTTGTTTCTCCAATGCCCTTTGGCTTTTTTAAATCCCGATCCATTTTTCATGTCCAGGTTATCAGGGGTATATAATTATGCACAATCAAAATTTTCCAAAACACGCACAGTTTGGAAACCCTTAACTGCTTTAAGTTATTTTTGGAAAACGCCAACACTGCTTATGGTTTCTTGGAAACTTGCAATTAAGTGTGCAAATGAGAGGACTTCCTCTCCTGTCAGCATTGTTGAGTTTGTTATTGGACCACTAGGGGGCAGAGTATCATGCATTCTATGAAGTAGTTTTGATCTGAAGTTCAGGAACTGGAGTGTGATTTACCCAGCAATGGGAGACAGTGAGTGAGTCAGGGGCCGTTTTCCCTATCTGAGAAGACTATGGTGTATTCTGAAGCTCCAAATGACTTATGCCGTTGAGTTAAAAATGTTTACAAACTTTCGAAGAAGTGACATAGTTCTTGTACTTACCACTTGTTAACAAAGTCTTGAAACTCTGAACCAAATATACTTGGCAGCTTTGGAGGCGGCTGTAAAAAAAGAATGACCCAAGAACAAGACAAAACGGGACAGTTACATCTATTCCATGTTAAATATTTTTGATAATTACAGTGCTGTCCCATAAAACTCCTGTTTTGAGGTACAGAATGTATAAAATTACAGTATATGAGAATAATACAGAAAATAATAATATATATATATAAGTATGAACAGACTACTAAAGGGTTTTTAGAATTTCTGGCCAATCTACCTGTATCCACACTTTAAATTCAGGCAGGAAGCTACACACCTCATTCACAATATAGTCCAGCAGCTCGAAAATCGCCATGGGGGGTCTGCTGTCCGGGCCGTATGCTGGAAGGAAAGCGAGGAAGGTAGTGTTTAATGTCAGGGAATTTTCCTGCTGAATCAATCAATAACACAGCTGCAACACCTTAAAATGCCAATGCTTTCTGTCACAAAGATCATCTTGTGGGGCTGTATCGCTTCTGACCGAGGGTGGACTCAGGACGGCAACTGAGCAGGAGCTGAGAAAAAGGGGGGTGCAGGATGAGGGTTGGGGGAGACTTACAGCTGACAGGGCGGCCAGGAGGTCTGGGTTTGGGGAAAGCCTCGCTGGAGGGCAGGTCGCCCCCTACAGGGCAACCGAAGATCTGCTCCAGCTCCTTGGCGTCAGGCGGGGGGATAGGGTAGCGGCCGATTGCCATCTCCACCAGGGACAGTCCCATACTCCAGATATCGGACTGCACTGAGTAATGGGTACCCTGAAGCCGCTCCGGCTGGACAGGCAGAAAACAATGGGAGCGATGGTTAGGGAAAGATGGGAAGAGAGAACAACAGGAAGGAAGGATTGACAGTGGACAGCAGGGAGGAATAAAGGAGAGGGAGAATGGGAATTGTCGGAGATGCTGGAGTTAGAACATAAAACAGTTACTGCATTCCAGGTGTAGCAGAATCACAGACTACAGCTGTTCTCCAACGAATTTATGCAACCTGACTGCCGAGAAAACGGACCACTTAGATCTCAATGTAAAAAAAAAAACGGGCCGGTTTGGTATAATTTACGGCATTCTCTTGCTAATGAGCTCTTTGTTTTACAAATCATTACCACCAGTGAAATCCAAAATAACGGTACTGTTCAAATATTTGGCAGATGCTTTGATCCAAAGCTCACATGGGATTTAACCCACAATCTTCCAGTTTCACATCCAGACACCTGACTGCTGCTCCACACTGTGGCTTGCTCCAGTGGGACAGCTAGTGCACACGTTTCCTATAGCACATCTAGTAAAATCTATCCGGGCTGCTCTATACAAATCCTGTCTTGGGACGTGTCCTATTTGCACTAGAAATTACACAGACCATACATCACTTCCTGAAAAAAACGGACTGTAAATAGCATAGTGACCCTTTCTCTTTTCCATGAATGTATCTCACCCGTGCCCCCCATCTCTGCCTGTGCACCTTGGTCCCTCCTCTCTCTGCATCGGGGGGGCGGGGGGTTCTGTCTCCCTCTTATAATAATAATAATAATAATAATAATTGCTTACACTTATATAGCGCTTTTTCTGGACACTCCACTCAAAGCACTTTACAGGTAATGGGGACTCCCCTCCACCACCACCAATGTGCAGCATCCACCTAGATGATGCGACGGCAGCCATAGTGCGCCAGAACGCTCACCACACATCAGCTATCAGTGGGGAGGAGAGCAGAGTAATGTAGCCAATTCATAGAGGGGGATTATTAGGAGGCCATGATTAGTAAAGGCCAATTAGAAATTTGGCCAGGACACCGGGGTTACACCCCTACTCTTTTCGAGAAGCACCCTGGGATTTTTAATGACCACAGAGAGTCAGGACCTCGGTTTTACATCTCATCCGAAGGACGGCGCCTGTTTACAGTATAGTGTCCCCGTCACTATACTGGGGCATTAGGACCCACATGGACCGCAGGGTGAGCGCCCCCCGCTGGTCCCACTAACACCTCTTATGCCTTAATTCCTCAATCAAAATTCCTAACTGCGTTTTCCTATTGGGAAATTGTTATTGCACATGACAATTGATTTGGAAAAACAAATCTCGGCAATCCACTGTGTAGCATGAAGTGCTCAAGGACACAGTTTTTACCATGTATACTTTCTAGAGCCAAATACAAATACACTTGCACCAGTGACAGACCTTACAGGAAGGACAAAGCCAGACAGCTACACTTTTTATGTATTTAGCACTTTGTACTTGATTGTTTGATACAGGTATATTATTTCCATGTGAAAACTGTTCATTTTACTACTTACTGGAAGGCTCTTTACACAAAATAGACTTACATCCTTTTAAGGGATGGCAGGGCTTTAATGGAGGCAAATCTATGAACAGCAGGAGAGATTACAGGCCACAGTCATCATCCCTGTCAGGCAGTCTCTGTTGATTATCACACGCATCCAATGTTATATAATTGCAATGCATATGCATGAGGCTGCACTTGTGTGTAAAGAGCCCTTCGGTGCGTCAGTCAGCTTGGCTGTCATGGTTATAGAGAGCAGTTCCTATCAGCCGCCGAATGGAAGTAAAAAAACAATCCATTACTCTGCTTTAGCTGGCATCCATCATGTACAGAAGCCCGAAAAAGGCAGCCTGTAATGGAAGTAAGATAATTAAATCCTACAACTCCCACTGTGCAATACTATTAAACCAAAACTGTCAGGAAGTCTAGTACTTCCACAATATGAACCACGAGGGAAGAGGAGAGGGAAAGACGGTAACTCACAGACATATAGGACCGCGTGCCCACAAAAGAGTTGGCCATGGAGTCTATGAGCTGGCCACTGACGCCAAAGTCGCACAGCTTGATCTCTCCGCGCGAGTTCACCAGGATGTTGGATGGCTTCACATCTGGAACGCAGAGAGAGGCTCAGAAGCCAGGGGACAGATACAGGATTCACAGCTCTCAGGCGTGCGTCGGCCCCATTCTGTGCAGTATTATCTTTATGTCACACGGTGGGTGACACCCAGCTGTAGAAGCCCCCGATGTAAAGGGCTGCCATGGCTGTGTGGCAACGGCTTAGCATTTCCAGCAGCCAAAAGGGAATCACGATCAGTCACACTGGTGTCCTACCCCACTCCCCCACGAGGAGTGTGAGCTATAAGGAACGAGAGCTGCTGGTCAGCGGGAGTGATGGGCCGTGTTTTTACTCACAGGTCTGTGCGGAGACGGACAGGTCCCACGGCAGCAACTCCCCCCGTGCGCTCAAGAGCACAACGGTCCCCGTGGTTACCAGGCAACCGACAGGCAGGCCTGCTCTGAGCCCGTGCTCCTGTTCTCTAGTGCCTTTTGATCACTTCTTTTTATCTAGCGCATGTGAAGTGCCAGGAGCACTCCTCCTGACTCTGTGCCTTTCTGTAGCCATTGTAAACACACACAGGACACTGTGAGGCGAGTGGGAGTTGAGAGAGATGGAGAATGTCAGCTGATACTATGAGACACTTGCTGTGAGGGCAGTGTGCTGTTCGGCAGGGTGGCGGGGGGGCATTGCCTTGTGTCAAACAGCAGGGCTGCCTCTTACACAATACAGTCGCAGCGCCCAGCTCTCTCTGTCATCTGTCTGCACTGTACAGTGTGCCTGTAGGCACTGGCCCAGGTGCAACACACGACCTTCTGTTCCATAGTGTACAAGTTAGCTACAGACGAGAGCAGGCCATTCAGCCTATCTAACCCCTTTGGCTATTGGATAGCAATTTGATTTGATGGATGGCATCCAGCCGTTTCTACAAAGAGACTAGAGTCTTCATATTCTGGGTAAAGGATATTAAGGGTTTAGCGGTAAGAAACATTCACTGACCCCTTCCCTACCTTCCCCCACAGGACAGATGTCTTACACACAGGGCTGGGTCACACCATTGCAGCTGATGCTAAGGCCATGGCTGGGCTTCCTTACTGGTTCCAGGAAAATGAGAAGTGTCAGCAATTGTAACGATGAGACGTGTAACCCGGCTGTTACAATCCTGGCTGTGGAAGACCGAGCTTGGCACTGCAAATGGACTCAGAATGTACCTACAAACTGCCAGTGGTGCACGACCTCCCTTCAGAGTACCTATTATGAGAATTCCTCTTATTCAAATACACACATACTATGGGGAAGAGACATCTCGCGCCTCAAGACCTGCGGCCACTCTGGAACACACTAGGCTGAGACCTCGATCACTCCAGCGAGACAGCTCCGCTCTCCTGAAGCTCTGTACTCTCGAGGGGAGCGGTGTTGATCCTGGGAAATACTATCTCTTACCGTCTGCAGCCGGGTGATGCTGGTGAATGGCCTCTGACAATACGATAACTCTGAATTTAATACTTAAACAATGTGTGCTTTGTTGATTTGTATTTGTAAGGCTGTGTTGTCTTGGTTCACAATTAGCTACCACCTGTAAGTTAAAATACATCAACCCTAGTAATAAATCAAAACCCTTAAAATAGTGTAGCTTAAAAAAGGGATTATTGACTATTTCTCTTTTATTGTTGTCATGGCAATACAGGCTTCCCCTGAATCTGCTTGGGGATCTTCCCTGCCTCCTTCAGCACCTGAGCCAGGACTCTCCCATCCTGCAGGTCAGAGGTCAGGAAGCCATCACACACCTCCCAACGGGGCTGCTTTAGGACACCGCAGTTACAGTAGGTTTCCCCATCGTCCACACTGACTCACCCCTGTGCATGATCTTGTGTTTCTCTCTCAGGTACGTCAGTCCTTTGATCACCTGGAAACACAGCAGACAGATCAACTGCAGATCTGCTTCCCAGCAGCCCCTCTCCGTATCAATTCACAACTGATAACCACTGGACCGCCGGACAGGCAGGGAGGGGAGAGAGAAGGAGGGGGCTCATGACTCGTGTTCGAGTCCTCATACATTAGCTTACTCAAATGTGCAGCAGAGCTGGCTGGACTCAGTGGATAAGTCTCCACACACAGCTGCCCTGTCTTGTCCGCACATACAAGTGCACTGACTGCAGTTATGCTTTGTGAAGCAGAAACAGCTGTCACAGAACTCCACGCACGTGCCAGAAGCACATGGAGAGCAATGCCTGGGATACTGCTGCCATGCAAACTGCAGTCCGTCCTGTCAGTTTCTGACAGGCATTCTTGTCACAGCATGGGACAGGCAGGCCCACTGCCCAGGGTTTAAGGGCAGCGACCTTAACACTACAAAAATAGTGACAGGGCAGCCACATCAGCACATCTGCTAGAGCATCACCATGCAAGAGCTCAAGCTATGATTGTACATGCTTTAGGGACTTGATTTGATTTCATTTTGCGTAGGATGCCGCAGGAAATGGCCTCTGTGGGTGCTGAAAAAAATCCCAGCACTATAGCTTTCCATCTGGTGCCTATTTCCACCCGATACAGGATCACATCTATCTAAATTCCCGGGAAATGCCCTATAGCCCCATCCCAGCCTGAACCACTCACTGCAATGCTGACTTTCCCCAGGATCTGCTCAGGGATCTTCCCTGCTTTCTTCAGCACCTGGTCCAGGGAGCCCCCGTCCTGCGGGACAGATGGAAGAATATTTAAGGCTCTTCCTACACTCTTATACTACTGTGTCATTATGTCAGAGTGTCTTCACTGCGCTGGATGGCACCTAGTTCTCTTGGGAGCTCTGCATGCACACACAGTGTCAGGAAAGACTGGAGTAGCACTGTCCCAGGACGCTACTCATTCCCTTACATATAGCAGAGCATCAGAGCAATCCCACCAAGAGAGGAGAAGAGAACAAACGATCTGAAAGAGGGAGAGAAAACTGAAAGAAAGAGAGTAAGTGAGGAAACTGCAACGTCCCCGACACACTGCTGTGGTTTCATCATGTCTCCTAGTGTACAAGGAGACTTTATTGTACCAGCCTTAGCCCTTGATAGTGACCGTGAATACAGGTGTCTGTCAAATCAACGTAAACTTTTCCCATCACAGACATTCAGAAGAAGAGCTGCCCTGATGCCCTGTCTGATCTGGCTAACCAGTGAGGGCCATACCAAGGCCTGAGCTCAGGAGGGGTGGACACCGGCCCTACCATGTGCTCCATGCAGATGCTGATCTCGCCGTCGCTGTAGAAGGCACCATAGAAGCCCACGATGTAGGGGGAGTTACACTCATGCAGGACCTGCAGCTCCCGGATGATCTGGTTCCTAATGGCAGGCTTGATCTCCAGGTGGATGAGCTGGAACAGAAAGCAAAGGCACGACGGCTCATGGGTGACATGTATTCGCTCACCATTCACTGACCTCTGGTCATGTTATCGGACAGAATTTCTCAACGGAGCAAAATGTGCTGATTTTAAAAAAACTTCAACAAAACAAAAAATCTTTCCTTCTCTGCCACCTTCCTGATTCTTTGTAAAACAGAAAGCCAGAGATGAGTATCTGACTTAAACACAGATAATGTACCAAAAAAAAATCAATTTCCTTTGCAACAGTGCATTTGCAAAGAACATACCGTCTCAGGAAAAAAGCTTTTAATGAAGAGTAAGAGAGACGGTGAAGGGTAATTCCTCTGTCCGGGTTCTTAAGGAGAACCAGGTTTGCTGTTGATAGTCAAGTAGAGTATGCATTACAGGAATGGGGGTGAAGATCACTGCATATGAATGTGTCACAGGGCTCAGCCCACTGAGCCAGTTCAAGAGCTGACATTACCCCTCTGAAAGCCAGGCAGTGCCAAACTCTGCTGGGGCACAGGACCGATCTGTGGACACAAAGTGATCCGCTGTCTAAGGAGTGGCACCGCGCATGCTGGGAGCAGGTATCCTGGCAGGAGCAGGGAGAACTGCACTCATCGAACATGGCAATAAAAAGTGATGTCATTACGTGGCAAAAAACTCTGGGGCTCTGTGGGTAAGGATCTTTACCTGTGGCTGGAAGGTTGCCAGTTCAAATCCCTCCGTTGGGCTCCTGAGCAAGGCCCTTAACCCCAACTGCTCCAGGGGCGCCGTATAAATGGCTGACCCTGCGCTCTGACCCCAAGCTCCTCTCCCTGTCTGTGTGTCTCGTGGATCATGCAAGCTGGGGTATGCGAAAAGACAAATTCCTAATGCAAGAAATTGTGTATGGCCAATAAAGGGATCTCATCTCATCTCTTATCTTACGTGAGGCAGGAGGTTCTAAATGACAGCGCCTTTAGAGCGGTGTGGGACTGGCAGTGACACCACAGGGGCTCGTACCTTTCTGGCCATTATGAGGCCAGAGGGGCGGTGCGACACCTTGAAGACCACGCCCCCGTTTCCGGCGCCCAGCTCGCAGATCTTCTCAAAGTCGTCGTCCTTCAGCTCCCCCACCTTCTGCTTCTGGGTGAGGAACGCCTCCAGACGCTTCCTCTGCTGCTCGTCCAACTCCAGCTCCTCCAGCTTCTTCTGCAGGGCCTCCAGATTCGTCCTGCGGGAGACGGAGGTGGAGGGGCCTCTTGAGTTTATGTAATGGTTGGTAACTCATTCGTGCACACTCTCAAAGTAAATCACATGTTGAAACAGGGCCTGAGCAGCAAGAGGACATTGCAACAGATACCAAACCCTTGCGCAGAGGAAATGGTAACAAAACCACTTCCAGATGATGCAAAGGAAGGACTTTTTGGCCCAGTGCAAACCTCACTCCACTTTTACAATCCCCAAATGAACACCCACTGACTCCAAAAGCCTCCATCCATTCATTTTCTAACCGTTTCTTCAAGTTCAGGATATTGGAAGTCTATCCTGGCAAACAACAGGTGCAAACTGGTCCTACTCCAAAAGTACAGTAGGTTCTTGTTTATTTACTTATATCTAAATTCTCTAAATATCTCATCTAATTTTGTGTGGCATGACAGTTAGCACTGATGTCTCACAGCTCTATGGTCCTGGGTTCAACTCTGGACCGGAGTGCCTTCTGTGTGGAGTCTGCATGTTCTTCTAGTGTTCACCTTTGCTTTTTTTTTTCCTCTAAGTGCTCAAGTTTCCTCTCCTCTTCCAAGGCTGGATGGGTTAATTGGCAACTCTAAATGGGCCTGTGTGTTTTACCCAGGAGTAAACAGGACTAGAGTCCTGTCCAGGGCGTAGTCTTGCCTTGCGCCCTGCACCTGCTGGGACAGCCTCTGGCTCAACACGAGCCTCCGCAGCGGCTACGGAAATCAAAAACGTTGATAAAGGAATGATAAATTCAGTGCAATAAACATACCTGCACATACATGTTGTTCAATCCTATAAGTGTTTGCTAGCCTATTCAAACGACTGCATTGTGAAAACTACTGAGTTTATTGGGCTTTGGTCTCATGTGCATGTGAAGCAAGTCCCATTTCTCCACACTGCACTGCCACCCTGTGACCATCGGAGTGACCTCTGGTGTACACCTCCCTTGTGCAAGACACGTTCCCCATAATCCAATCCTCGTGTCTCTCGCATTGCACTGCGGTCCCGCGAAAGTTCAACATCCTTCTTCAGAAAATCGGAAACAAATTTTGATCCGACGCAGTGATCTCTGAAAACCCCTCTTCGAGTCCCCAGTGAATGGAAGAGCAGGATTCCACACTGCTGTGGTCACCCAGCAGCATGTTTCACAATGCCATGCCTGGGATTCCTGGAGCCAATGCGATTCAGAGTAAGGCATCTGAGTACTGGTTTGTCAGGTGCCTCTACACCGCTGGTCAATGGGAAGGGGAGGAGCGAAGCACAAACACAGATGCCCACTGTGAACAGAAAGGCCAATCCTGCCCTCGCCTCACGTCAGCGCAGTGACTCGCGCTGTGCAGGACACTGTTAATTCTGCTGCATGGTGTCCGTGGCCTCCGTTGTCATGGACACAAATTTCCTCAGTGACTGCTATGGAGCAGTGCATTATGGGTTCCCAGAGTGTGACCTCCCCTGACCTTTGCTCCAGTAAAAAGCTATACAAGCGCACAACGCTGGCATAAATGGAAACCAATATCGTGGTCAGGAGTTGTTGTAAAAATTGCGAAACGGTTGTTTAAAAATCCCAAGAATTATTTGGAATTGGAATGAATGAGACTGAAAGGTGGTTATCATTTTTATTCCTTTTTTTGTTTAAACGTCAGTCTTTGGCTACAATTCTCTTTATGACTGTAGTTAACGGAGTGCCTCGATGGACATGAAGACCTTCCTGGCTTCCCCATTCCTCTCTTCCCCTCCCTCCGCTCTGCTGTCCCAGCACAGCGCTGGGGAAATGGAAGGAAAGGGAATCTTGGCAGGACCCCCAGCTCTATATATAACTGAGGGGGTGGCCATGGAGGACTGCTGGAGATGTGAGATGCGTGAGAACAGCAGCCTTTGAATCGCCTCCAACAGGAGCAACAGGAGGAAATGGGGGAAAAAAAACGGCGAATCGTTTTGGTCGGGTTGGGAGGAGCCTTCACCTTCCAGAGTCAGGAGGAAGACAGCTCAGCAAGCACAGGACTGAGGACTAGCCTGGATTCAGACAAACGACAGTTACGTCACAGCAGGGAACATACTTATGAAAGCTATCAGCTGTGTACGGGCGAAGCCTGGGCGGTCATTAATTGAAATTCCAAAGACTGCTATGAAATATCCAGTCCGGAGGGAGGCTCCAGAAGTTTGAACGTGGAAATGAAGGAGTATCCCCCAGTGCTGACATCTGTTTACTTCCACAAGACACGCGACAAGAGTGCGGCGTGTGACGGTGCCACTCCAGCCCTCCGCAACCCTCCCTCTGTCTAAGCAACGTACTGCCAGGATCTGCTCATTTACATCACAATGGGATCTGGAAGCACTGAAGAAGTGTGTGCTCTACATGTACATGAGGGGGAGGGAGGGTGACCGACGCTCCAGCAGGCTCTATTAAACAGGCAAGATCAGGGTGCAGGAAAGGGTCAATACTTCTTTTAAAAGAAGAAATGTGTTGTGTCCTGATAGTCTGTTTCCTAAAATGCCCCACCGGAAAGGATGAGAGATTATTCTGGTTTACAATCCAAAAATCACAGAGGAAACTAGAACACACACGTACAAGTACTCAGCCTCTCCCAGGAATAATCAACCTCTCGGCAACCTCTCCCCCGTCATCACCCACGCAGTCGTTCTTGTGGGGTTTCCATTTCGTTCCCCTAGTTCGTTCCTCTGCGCCTCCCTGCCTCGCCAGTGCTTGAAGGGTTATGGCTGCCTCTCGACAGCAGCTCGGTGAAGCCATGGCAACCGCGGGCGAGCGCGCCAGCGAGAGGCTCGGGGGTGGCGTGGATCGTGCTGGGACCAGGGGCTCGGGGCGCCGCGTGGTGAAGTGGGGTGTGATCCACACACTTCAGCGCGCGCGTGGGAGGAGAGGCGGAGGGCCAGCTCTGTGGGGTAAGCGGGGAGCATGTCCACCTGGAATCCACAGTGCACTCAGGCAGCCATGCCTTGGCGCTCGTACAGCCACAGGGGAGGCGACAGGCAGGGCTTCAGCACGGCCTTGAGATGAAGGAGGTGAGCCCCCAGATACAAGCCCCGAATTTAATTCAGAGTAAGCAATGGCCTTACCGTGCATAACCTGTTTTTTTAATTTGCTTTGCCAGAATTTTCAAAAGTTCAACAAGTCTGTTTCATGCTTTACCCCAACATTATTGTACTATTGTTCCAAATGGGTTTTATACAGCACGGGCCCTAAACTTGGTGTCATGGTGGTGCAGTGGTTTCCATTGCTGTCTTGCAATCCAGGGGCCCTGGGTTCAATTCCGGAGCTGGAGAGCTGTCTGTGTGGAGTTTGCGTGTTCTCCTTGTGGTCGTGAGGGTTTCCTCCTGGTGCTTCAGTTGCCTCCCACAGTCCAGAGACATACCGGTAATACTGGTAGGTTAAATGGCTTCTGGGAAAAACTGTCTCTAGTGTGACTTTTTGTGTGCTTGTGTCTGTGTGCACTGCAATGAACTGGTTTCCTACCTAGGGTGAATTCTTCCTTGTGCCTGATGCTTGCTGGTACTGGATAAAGTACATGGAAACGGTTCCTATTCTTTGCTTTGGCCCTTGCCCACCATGGTAAGGTCTTCTGACTACTGCACTACCCTAACAAGGTTGTGGAGTAGGGTGCAATAAGGGTGTGTTCACACTTATATCCTCTCTCACGACCCAACTCTTTTATTCGTTCAGTACAATTCGAGATAACCCTGAGACAGGTGGGGCTGTGCTGTTACACGCATGTAGGCATATACAAATCCTGCAGGTGTGCTTGTCTCAGGCAGAACGGGCCACACAGTGTACAATGCAAACAGCATTCCTGCTCCTGCTAATTATTAACCCAGATTGCAGATCCTGAACTCCTTCCTGCTAGGAAATGTATGAGGGTCAGCCAGGAGACTGCTGGTTAGAATCTCAACACAAACTGCTCAGAGGAGGCTGTCTGGCCTGTTCGGTAGCTCACAGCTAATTGATCCTAGGATCTCCTCCAGCCTTTTCTTAAGCACAACCTGGGGACCAGCTTCATCAAGAAATACACGGGTATGACTGTGCCAATGCTTAGGGGGATATGGAATACTCTTCTTGGATACCCTTATCGTCTTCTCTTCTCTGTTCATGCCTATAACATAATGGAGCAGGTGACCGGCTGTGCGCAGCACCAGTCCTGATCTGTAAAAGGTGGACCACTTTTCTCTCCACAGACTTGTCTGCTGGCTAAACCACAGTAATAATAATTCCTTACACTTATATATCACTTTTCTGGACACTCCACTCAAAGCGCTTTACAGGTAATGGGGACTCCCCTCCACCACCACCAATGTGCAGCCCCACCTGGATGATGCGACAATGGCAGCCATAGTGAGCCACTATGCTCACCACACATCAGCTATTAGTGGGGAGGAGAGCAGAGTAATTAAGCCAATTCAAAGATGGGGATTATTAGGAGGCCATGACTGGTAAAACCCAATGGGAAATTTGGCCAGGGTGCCAGGGTAACACCCCTACTCTTTTTGAGAAACCCACTGGGATTTTTAATGACCACAGAGAGTCAGGACCTCGGTTTTGAGTCTCATCCGTAGGACGGTGCCTTTTTACAGTATAGTATCCCCGTCACTATACTGGGGCATTAGGACCCACACAGACAACAGGGTGGCGCGTCCTGCTGGTCCCACTAACACTCCTTCCAGCAGCAGCCTTAGCTTTCCCAGGAGGCTTCCCATCCAGGTACTGACCAGGCTCACACTGCTGAGCTTCAGTGGGCTGCCAGCTGTGAGTTGCAGGGTGATATGCTGCTGTCATCTTATACCCTAAGAAGACACTATCATTCAGTATCATCTTACGGCATAATAAACATATGGCAAAAACACACGAGTTGGAATTAAATCACTCTAATGATCAGTGGATGCCTCTTAACCTTAAAACACGTGGGAACTCTTGAGAACAGGCTGGCTTCCACCTCTTTTTAAATTAAATAGACTTGTCTAAGCAAAGAACTCCTGCTTAAAGATCATCCTACTGTAAGGCACTGTACCTCCTCTGGAACCAATGAGCAAAAAAAAATAACAAAATCCTCCACAATCCTAATGAACCATCCAGACCCTGAAGGATTATGCTGGCTTGTTATATAGACACTTGACACCACTCCCACATGGACGGAGTGTGTATAGAGAGAGGCTACACACAATGCAGAGGAGCCAAGACAGCTGAAATCACATGCTAGACTCCGCCAGTCCTCAGGAACAGTGATGCCAGCTGGAAGGGAACTGTTTTGCTAGGTGAGATTTAATTAGAAAGATTGGCCTAATCAGTTGCCAGGGAGAGAAAGCAGTCACTGCCAGGTTATCGTTCCAGCTCTTTCCTGCACACAGCTGGACAGGTGCTGCCTTGCTGTAAAAGGGCCAGTGCATAAAATCCCTCTGTGCAGTTTTTAGAATGCAGCCAGAGGGGGTTATTTTCCTAGGTAGCAAAATACAGGTGATTTTGTTGGAGCTGGAGCCGTCTCCAACACATGAGAGCAGCCACAGAGTCTTAGCATCAATTCACGCCTCACCTTGCTAAAAATTCCCAACAGCCCTGAATATATTTAGAATGTACCGTAAAATCAGAAATAGATGGGCAAAGGCCTCTTTGAATTTAAAGCACACGGAAAAGAATTGTGCTATTTAAAACCAACTCTGGAGCATTAAGAAAAGTCTTTTTGGACATGTAATGTTTTTTTATGTCATGCTCTGGCTTCCTCTGGCTAGTGCTGTGGGTCTAAGGGCAGGGCAGCGTGCCCCAGCCCAGCTGTGAGACTGTTCAGGGGATCAGTCCCGCTTGCCTGACACACAGGCAGCAACAGACTTGCTGCATTCCTCATGTCAGAAGCAGGAATTCTATTAAGCCCCTGTTCCGAGTTCCAGAGCTCCAAACTCCGGCCTGCACTCTGTAGCAACATTCCGGAGGCGCTGCACGCAGCAACCTGCCCCAGCAATGTGGGAGGAATGCGTGAGCGCAGCTCCGCTTTCGTGAGTCACAGGGGGAGGAAATTAAGGCATTGAGCTGGTATGTGAGATACACAACACCCCGATTGTTTTTACACACGCAGATGAAGGCAGAAGATGTCATTTTCATATTCCTGTGACTCTCCTGAACATTTTAAATTCTTGTTGGCTGGTTAATTCAGGATTTCACCCCTTAAGAGCTTCCTGGCAACTGCCCACACCAAGACTATAAAATGGTCACAACAAAAAGAATGGGGTTATCCATTAGTCCACGGTTTGCATGTGCACTTTGTCCATGTTTGAAATGCAAGTTTCATGACACACAAATATGCAAAGTCATCTCTTTCTCAGTGTGCCTCGGGAACACGTTCACAATAGATGCAACTCGGCTTACTGTGGCATACTGTACCCTCTTCACTCAAAACCTGGTCCCTGTACTGCTAGGCGCAAAACTGACAACCCAAGGTCTCACATTTAATACAGAGCTGAACCTTATAATGAGAAGCATCTATAAGCAGCAAACGCAGCAATCTGCAGCCTTGCAATTCAACCCCAGGCAATAATCTAATGGTGTAAAAACAGGGCTCCCTGCTTCAGACCTGCATGGTCTATGACAGTCTCAATAAAATCACAGGGAGTGATCTTCATGGCTGGCTCCTGGCCCAGACGCTCCAGTCTGAGAGACTGAGCAAAACACATCCGCAGCACCTGTGGACTGTGGAGCGGAGGAGACTGTATCTTCTTCTTCCTCACGGTTGCAAACCAGGGCTGAGCTGAACTGTTTACCTACTGTTTCCGTTCAGAACTCTGCCATACTAAAGCACATAGTCTTCATCCAAAGACAACACGGCCATTCAAAAACACCAAGCACAAACAGGAGCAGACACTAACACCCCGCTATCCTGTGCAGGATATGCAATAGTCTGCTCCACAACAAAACAAGGGAACCCATTACAATAAGCGCTGCACACACAGGCTGCCTTTTCATCCTGTCGCATATTTTCTTGGACTTCTGTCCTTGGGGGAGCAGAGGGCTCCAGAACTTCAGAAACATGATAAACATCTGTGGGTCGTTCCAAGCGGAGAGCGATGCTTTCTGCACAGAGCGCTGTAGATTGAAGACAGACAAGCGCTGCCCTTCGATAAGGCCTGCTTAATTCATGGTACAATGTCAGCCCAGCACTCAAAGCTGTAGGCCCAGCTGAACAACAGATTACTGGCCTCTGCGCACCCTTAGTGGCCAGTGAAGCATGGGACCCAGGAAAGCCATGCAGCACAAGAGCCTTTATGCCCCATGTGCAGGGTGTGAGCCCTGCTCGGCCACAATGGCTGATCTCACAGAGAGGGAGGGTGCGGAGAGTGGAGGCTGTAAATTTCGCCCAGTTCATCAACTTTCCAGAGGGCACCTTTTTACCCCCTGTTTTGCCCAAGCGAAAAGCTGTTAAGAGAAATGGAGGGGTACTGGGCATCGCAACTCTGCTGTGAGCAGGCCAGCTGCTGGACACCTGACCTAGGGGACACATCCAGGCTGTCTGTGACCAGTGCTCCTCAGCATCTCCCAGTACTAACAAATCCTTCAGACAGATTCTGTGCCCAGGGTGAGCTACAATCCCACAGGCCATGGTTGCTGTATCATTCACAAACAGAACAAGTGCCAAACTTACCACACAACACTAGCCCCCACTCATATACTGTACCTATCCACTGCAGCTACGTCTGGCTCTATTACAGAGAGGTGTTTTGTGTCCTTAACAGATACGGACATAGATGCAAAAATGTTTTAGCACAGATTACTGATTTGACATTAATGGAAGTGTATATACACACACACACAACAAAAAGACGTACACACCATCAGAGAAAACAAAGTGGATCAATAAGTTGTAGGCGTTGCAAGCAGGTATTGAGGATTTGCATCAACAACATTAATAGTCACAACAGTTTAAAAATACTCAGCGGGAGAAGGAGGGAAGAAAAACATCCAGTAACATGTACACACGCAGGAAACACACAGATCCAAATGGGCTATGGACTAGTTAAACCTCAGTGAAACCAGCAGGAACCCCAGGACAGCCTTTAGCATTCCACTCTGTAACTCCTATTAAAATTCCTGGGAATGGAGCGGTTCAGCGGAACCACTCCTGATGTCACGACACCACTGGGGTCCTCGCAAGATACTCCTCTTTATTTTCGGGGGTGAGGTGGGGGAGTCACCCATGTAACAGCACAGACACATGTCATATGTATTCATTTAAAAAAAAAAAAGAAGAAATTACAAAATAGAGCCTCGCAATGAAAACAAAAAAAAAACACCCCAAGCAGGATATTTAGATATACGGCGCTAGTGAGCAGAGAGCAGAGCCACACAGATCACCCGATTCCGAAACAAGGAGGAAAACGTCATTGTAGCTTTTAAAAGATTAGAACTTACTCCGTGGCGCTGGTACCGTTGACAGTGTTGCCATCAGGAGCTGGGTTGAGCTGAATCGGCTCCGGCTTCCTCCTCTTTTGCATTTTTTAGAAAATCAGCGACAAATTACCCGACTACAGGAACCCCTGAATAAATCACGAACTGGCGAGTTACAGGCGCTGGGAGGGAGGGTATCTACTAGTGCAAGACTCCCAGACAAGAGTTAATAATGCAATGATATTTCAAAGAAATAGTGCCGCTATCCTACCCAAGAGTGCAGCCTGTTACACAGTAAAGCCTGCTATCGCTAAAAAAAGCTGTAAGCGGCGGATGAAGACTCGCCTTCCTCCTTCCACTGATACCCAGAATTTCTCTATGGGTGGATAGTCTCTTTATGTTTCAGTAACATTTTTTCTCCCTATTTGCTGACAGCCAATGACTGTGAAGGTGTACGTCACGAAAATATTTACATTAGTCTTCCTGCGAGCTTGGGGACGGCGTCTTTGGGGAGAGCTCCCCCTCCCGGCGAGTTCTGGCTCGACAGTTTTGAATGAACTGTACTGTAGTACGGGATAAAGAACCGTGAGAACATAAAAAAGGATTACAAACGAAACCAGACAGTCATTCGGCACGTCTGACCCGTTTGGTCTTCAGTACCTTAACACTCCAAGCATCTCATCCAGTCGTTTATAGAAGGAAGCCAGGGTATCGGCTTCACCAGATGGCTGGATAGCTTGTTCCACACCCCCACAGCCCTTTTTGTAAAGACGTCCCTGTACCCGTTCTCGGTTCTAAAATGAACCACGTCTGGTTCGTGTTTCACCTCTTGACGAGGGCCACTGTGTTTGTCAATGCCTTTGAGGACGTTAAATTCTTGGATCATCGGGTCTTCTGGTATCTTCTTCTTTTCTAGTAGCAGTTCTGGCTGTACGATCCGTGTGCAGCGTGTGAAGTTGGCAGGATGTCACACTGTACTGCCTATTTTCTTTCTTTATTGTTGCATGAATGAATGAATTAAAGATCACGCTGTCAAAATAAACCTTGTAGCTCAAAACAAAGATATTACACCGAATTAAGCGCAACACGTGATAATTAATGGAGAGCAAGCTGGGGTGCGCGAAAAGACAAATTCCTAATGCAAGAAATTGTGCATGGCTAATAAAGTGATCTTAAGGCGGATTATTTGAGTGTAACGTAATGATAGAATCATTGCAGCTTTTATGTGCAGAACCTCACCCACGTTAAGGAAAGTCACCAATCAAATCTGCTCACAGAGAATAAACGATTGGGTAACTACGTCACTTATGTAGACAAGCAAAACTGAACATTGGTCCAGATTTGGAAGACTGTAAAAAGTCAACAACCAGAAAGATGGAAAAAGTTCGAAAATGTTGCTGCGTCAGCATTTGTAGGCTGCAAGGGAACAGGTAAAGGTTTATTTCATGCTGAATATTCCTGAAGGCTCCACAGCCGAAACGTTGTGTCTCTTTTCTTCTCCTTTCGGCCTGCACGGAATAAACCTTCGCCCGTTCCACCTACAGCAGGAACATTTTATAACACTGATCGAAAAAAAACAGAGCCCTGCATTTGCATGGAAGCCCAGCCCCCTCAAAATAGGAAGCGCTGATTGGATAGAACGGACTCGTGGTCGCCCTGTAGAGAGATCTAATTGGTCAGTGTGGTTCTAAGATGTGATTGGCTGTTGGTTGCAGAACCGGCGGGGAGAAGAGACTCGCTTGGATAAAAGCGGACAGTCCTCTTCTTACCACTGTTGTAGATGAATACTTGATTTATCGAATAATAATAATAATAATAATAATAATAATAGGTCAGTGAGCGTCTTCTTTTGCGTTATCTACTCGTTGGTTCATTGTTTCCGTCGCCGTTTTTCGCGGAGTTTCTCCTTTATTTCGAGTTCACGAGCGTAGTCGGCCTTGCTGTGTTGTTGTGGTCCGGTAAGTTAAGTCGCTTTCTTGTATATATAACTCACGGTGTTGTGTAGCGATAGTTTTATAAAGTAACAAAACACAAATGTGTTGGGTTTTCTGTTGTCCACTGCTGCGATTCAATAATTGTGCAGAAAGCGTGAGGTCGCTTTTGTGTGTAAGAAGGCACTTTGCCATTGTGTTTTTGGGCACTGTCAACAGACCTAGTACGTCTATTTTCAATTTTTGTTAAAGCCTAAACTCGTTTCGTGATTTCTGTGGGCCGTACACATCTACCTAATGCTATTGCAGCTTTTACGTCAGTACGCCTACAGACAAACGTTTACAAAGCTTCTTCGGCGTCGGCCTGCACACTTTCTTGCCGTTTGGAAAGTTGGTTTGACTTTTTTTGGGGGGAAGATTGAAGAGGTTCTTGCTACAGAACGTGAATGGCCGTGTAGTTTTTACCCAGCCTGTGTCGAATCTGCGGTGGACAATGATAGGCATGGATACCTGTGTAAATTGAATTGAATCTACCATCCATTTTCAACCGCTTCATCTAAAACAGGGTTGCAGGGGAGCCGGGGCTATCCCGGCAGGCAACGGGCTCTAGGCAGGGTATTCGCAGGACAGGACACCAGTCCATTACAGCTCACGGGGCAAGTTTCCCCAGAAGCCAGCATGTCTTTGGATGGTGTGAACACGGGGAGAACATACAAACTCCATCCATGCAGCACCCCCGATCTGAAATTGAACCCAGGGCCCCAGCGCTGCGAGGCAGCAATGCTCACCATTGTACCACCTTATTGACCCTCTTGAAGAAAGTGATGCACTGCTCAAGGTTAGGTCCGAGTCAGTCAATACATTTTATAACCCAACGAGTTAGTTTAAGCGACTTTAGTTTCTGGCCTTTGTTTTTACGGGATGTTGGCGTCTCTGAACGTTAAGTGCATCCTTCCTTCTCTCCGGCATGTTTAGTTGTGGATGAGATGGAAAAGACGGGCAATAATCAGATAAAGCCCCGAGCCACGAGGAGATGGTAGATTTCCTGAACCTTTTGGCTCTTCAAGGGCGTTACACCGTTCGGCCAGAACAAAAGAAATCGCTATTTAGCCATCGTGGAGAGACCCCAGTCCGACACTTTACACGTAACTAGTAACTCATTTTCTGAAGACCTGGCTGGAATAAACTAATAACAGTTAAATTTTCTCTTTCTCTAAAGCTTAAAGAAAAAAGAGCTGAGAACGCTCTGAACCTAGTTATAACGCTACTATGTTTAACGAGCCCTCTTTCTTGTTACCAGGCCTGAAATTCACACGCCAAACTCCCCACGCCGCGCTTTTCAGCTAGACTCGAAGGGGAGCAGTGTCGCTCCTCGCTGTGCGCATGTGCGAGACCCGGGCAGTTTCCGGGCTTTGCGGAAGGGGCGTGTCGGCGACCAGCTGCAGATTTGTGATTGAACGCACGCTGCTAGTTTCGCTAACATCTTTGCCACTTGTCGATCGTTATCCAGCCGCGTCGTGAGCGCACGGAGTCCTTGCTTGTGGACAAGCTGAGCCTCCCGGATTAGTGCGGGAGGATTGTTCTGAACATGCGCTCTGATTTCGAAGAGTTGCCAGTCTTGATAACCAGGCTTTTCACTCTCCCCACAGGGAAGTATTTTCTAAAATGAGCTGTGCAGTCATGTGACCGTCTTATTTCATTGTTGGCACTGAAGAGCGTATTGCGCTGGACGCGTTTTGCTAGTCCCAGGCAATAAAGCAGTTGTAGTTCCTATATAAAACACGTGAGAGTGGTTTCACGTGTACATTTTATCGGTCGCTGTGCATCGACGGAACATGTACCAGCCACGTGTTGGACAGACTGAATCAACGTGGTTTGAAAGAACAGAACTGTTGGAAGGTGATATTTTGAAATAAGATCACTTTATTGGCCACATACAATTTCTTGCACTAGAAATTCTTTGCATACCCCAGCGTGCTCTGCATGTTGCACGCAGATGGGGAAAATGGCAAAATATGTAAAAGACTCAAGTCTTGCAAAAGATGCTGACTACATTCAGTGCTTGTCCGTATGGAAACAGAAAGGTAATTACGATATTCACTCCTGGAAGCTCTTCTGATAATGTTAGTGTTGGCTACATATGACTTCGAGAGGAATATGTGATGGCTTCCATGGAAGGCCAAAGTAAAGGAGCTGCTTTTCTCAATTTAATCATCCCTGTAATAACCGCTTTATTCAATACGGGCTCGGAGCCTATCCTGGCAAGTAATGGACACTAGCCAGAGTACACCCTGGACACGGCACCAGTCCATCGCACATCGCAGGGCAAACACGCACCCACGTCAGGGCCGGTTTTCTCAGAAGCCGACTAACCCATCGGTATGTCCTTGGACTGTGAAGGAAACCCAGGCTGAGCATACAGAGAGCACCCCGGGAGCTGGACCCAGGGTCCCCACACTGCGAGGCAGCAAGGCTGTCCGCTGCACCACTGTGCCTCTCCTCACCATCTCTGATAATCTGGAAAAACTGTGGTCAAGCAGGGTCTCCGAGTATCCGACACCAGGCCTCTGGTCTTGGCCGAGACCTACCGCAGGCACGTTGTCTGTTTTAAGCTGCAGGGTCCTCCTGTGCCGGGCCCCTCGCGCAGCGGAGACGGGCGGCCCACCTGTGGGTGACGGCGGCTGTGGGAATGCCGTCAGGAGTGACCCTTGTCTTGTGTCCCCCCCAGGGCGCGCCGGGCCTGCTGCACCATGATCGACCCGCTGGAGAACAGCCTGTTTGACCTTCCCGACTACGAGAACACCGAGGACGAGGCCTTTCCTCCGCTGCCGCCCCCGCTGTCCCCGGGCAGGGAGGGGTCCGGCGGGGACGGCGACGACCTTCCCAACGGTGAGAGCCCCGCGCCGCGGTCTGGGCTGACGCGGCAGGGGCCACAGTGGCCCCCGGCGGTCTCTGGCACTTCCCCGAGGTTAACCGAGGAAATCAAGCTCCTGCTTAGCCTTCCTCATGCAGGGGTTCGGCTTTGGAGACGTGCATTAGCAGAAATAATAGACCAGAGACTGGCTGAAGGCCTTTTATATGTTGGAGGCTGTCAGTGTGTTTAATGAATTAAACCGTATAGTTCACCTTAAATGGCATGTTCTGTGTATTTCGCAGGGGCTACAATGATCTATAACATCAAATAGAACCAAATCTGTAGGAGGTAAAATGTTGTTGATGTGGGATTTCAAGAATATTGCTCATGTGTAAAGCAATACTTAAGATGCTAAAGATCATTATAGGAACAAGTAAAGGTTTTATTCTGTGTTGAAAGGAAAATGGTTCTTTTGCTGTGGAGGCCTCTTTTGGTGTGTAAAGAGCTAACACGCCTGAAGAAGGCTCCAAACAGTTTCTTGTCTTTTGCTTTCACCATGGAATCAACCTTTACCTGTTCCTTTGCAGCCTACGCATGCTGACACGGCAGCCTTCTCTGATTTCTTCAGAGATGATTATAGCAAATAGGCACTGTACATCGTATCTTTCGGAGTGTGCGTGAAAGATTGCCGATCGGCTCCGATGTGGGAGATCCATTTACAAAGTCTGCCAGGAGCTGCAGGTCCATGAGGCTGGCTATAGCCTGCTGCGGAAGACTTCTCATGTCCAGTGTAGTGGACCTGACCTCTTCTGTGTTTCAAGGGGAGGACGCGGGAGAGACGTCCAGGTTAGATGAAGCCCCCATTGCCAAGAGGAGGGCTGTGAAGAGACCTCAGCCGAAGCTTGATTCCCAAAGGTATGTGGCGAGCGCGCCAACAGAACTGGCTCTTTGAAAAGGTTCGTCGGGTCTCTCGGCTAATAAATAGCCTTTATTACAAACGGAGTCTTTTGCTTGGAATCTAAATTCTGAGTTCTTATAGCTGTACCCATTTAATAAGGAGAACAATTGAATATGATGGCCACACGTTTGATCGAGTTCCTTCCTTTTCCTGTGGGCTGTTTTCTGGAGCTGCTTGCTTGTTTCAGCAGCTGATTCAGGCACGTACTGTAGGTTTGACGTGTTCTGTTTTTTGCCGGAGTGCAACACGGGTACAGATTGCGGCCGCGGCTGTAGTTCTGTTCATTAATGAATGAAGTATGCCGACGGAGAACATCCCCTTTGTACGTGCGCTGTGTACGTGCTGTGCATTAATGTTGAGTGTGGGGTTTTTTAGGCTAGTGTCTGAAAGAGGACTTCCAGCTCTGCGCACCTTATTCGACAATGTAAGATTCAAAGGCAAAGGACACGAGGTGAGAGCTCTGCTGCGTGCATCACTTTCTAGCCAAGTCTGTTTCCCAGGCGCCGCCGCCATGACCACAGCTCTGCATCTCGTTCATTAATGTGCTTGTGACATGAGCCACTGTGCAGCATCCCTGCATTCATGAGCATCTGTAGCAGTGTAGCTCTGTTGGGAACGTGTTTGTGTTGGGGGGGGGATTCTGAAAAGGGTGGTTTTTTTAAGTAGTACGGATGTACTTCAAGGAGTTCTTTCAAGTTCCTAGAACTGATCTGGTGCAGGAAAGCTGTGAAGGTCTTTGAATTGTCTTTGTCAATTCCTTTCTCAAGTGAAGCAGGGTTCAATTGGGGGGGAAAGTATCTGTGCTGGTTGTGTTGGGTCAAGTGGTTCCTCTTTTACTAACTTTCCTTACAGTTTGTGTACTATGCACAGTTGATAAAATGCGAGGCTGTTTAAATGCACAGATGTATTCTTCTATGTAAAATGGGTATTCAATAGGTGTTTTGATTTTTGTTCAGTTTGTTACAAGAGAGCTGTGTTGCTGCCCCCTGGTGGTAGCAGTAACAAATGCCTTCCCTTTTGTGTTTCACAGGCTGAAGACCTGAAGCTGTTGATCCAGAAAATGGAGAACTGGGCCCACAGATTATACCCGAAACTACAGTTTGACGACTTCATTGACAAACTGGAGTCTCTGGGAAGTAAGAAAGAAGTCCAGGTGAGACTGGAGCGCTGCAGTAGAGGAAGCTGATGCTTTTTTTTAGATGTAAAATGGCTCCAGTTCTGTTCCCAAGACTGCAGAAATCTGATCAGTAACAGGTGACTTCTTGTGTTTCTTTTATAGACTTGCCTAAAACGAATACGATTAGACATGCCCTTGACACATGAAGACTTTGTTGGTAAAGACGGTAAGCAGGAATTCTCTTGTAAATTGGACACCACGGAAGTAAAGCTTTTTAGTTCTGGAATGCTTACAGAATATTAAATACTGGGAGACGAATGTACAGTATAGTTTTAAACAGAAGCTTCCTTACATTGTAAGGTGAATGACTTGTAGTTAAACTGGTAGAATATTTGACATTGTGTGGTGTTTCAGATACACGGGCAAATCTCCTTACTAGTGCCTTGGCCACTAAGGAGACTAGATTTCATAAAGCATATTGTGTATAAAAAAAACAAACTCAAAGCACTGTACTGTAAGCTTCTGAGGGAGGAAAAACAAACCTAAACAAGAATTATCTAAAGCCTTCTGAGAATCTAATCAAACTAGTATGTCATAGTTTGTTTGTAGCCATTCCTGCTGTTGATTCCTCACAGAGGTCTTAGGAGTCTAGTTAATCAAGGCCTGGCTCATGTTGCCATAGAGATAATCCTCTAGTTCTAATAATGTTTTCCATAACCTTGCATGTAAGAGAAACCGGATCCGTCAGTCTAAAGTTACATGATCCAGTGAATTCGCCTCCTTGATGGATCAGCACCACATTAGCAGGTTTCCAGTGATATTTTCCCTGTCTCCAGAGACTGCTGGAGTTCTTAATGGTCTATTAATAACCTGTTTCCTTCTGTACAATTGGCAGAAATAGGACCTTGGAGATCTAAGAGCTCCTAGTACCTTTCAATACTTTTGCTAGTTCTATGAAACGCATTCCAAGGAAAGAACAGACATGCCTCAGGCTGAGGGCAATTTTACCTGAGTAAAATAGTCTCTTAATACTCCAGCCATTCTGAGCCATCTAAAAGATTTCCAGCTTTATCTCTGAAAACCTTTACTTCATCCTTGACTGTTCTTCTGCTGCTATAATACTGTGGGGGGGAATAAAACTTTTGCAGTTTTAGACTCCCTCCCACGATTCCTTCACATGTCTTGCTCATCCTTTCTCATATCTGTTTTAACCTGTGCTTGCAGCTTATACTCCTTTTTGTAAAGTCTTGTTTTTTTTTTTTAAATCCTTCACAACATGCCTTCTTCTTGTATCCTTGCTCTCCTTATTTAACCTTTTGGGATTCTCTTTCTTGTGAGAGAAACCCTGCTCTGTGCCTCAAGCAGAATCCCTCTACACTGTTGCCATGTGGTCTCCAGCGAGTCCAGGCTTAGCCTGTGGCCTTGTAGTTCTCCCAAGCTCTGTCCTGTTCCTTCACATACGTGCATGAAGAAGCAGCTCTGCGAAGTCCTAACAAATTCCACAGGAAGCCAGTGTGGGGTTGTCAGATCCCCAGCTCCTGAGCAATCTAATATGTGGGGTAGGGGCAGTATGTGGCCGTTCCTCCGATGACTGCAGCGCGGAGGAGTGTGCTGCAGTCCAGGACGCCACAGACAGCAAAGCTGGTTCCTGCCGACAGGGCCTGTCGAGTCATCGGGCTGCCTGTGCGATGGTTCCACACACACGCATGCCTGAAGCGCACATCCCTGGATCCTGGGGCTCAAGTCTTTGTATTGCCAGTAATTAGATGTAATTGATTATATCCTGTTTTTGCTTATGGGATAAAAGCAGTTTCAATCAAAAGAAACAAGATGGTATTGCTTTTGATCAGGCAGTGGTCTTATCCATTTTAAAGTGCAAGGATGGGAATTGGAAGTACAATCTACTTTTCTGGGGTGCAAACCCTCTTGCCAGATGAAGCGGAGGAGGAGGAGAGAGCGGTCAGGGAGAGCAGCATGCTGGACGACCCTGACCCCTTCCTGGACAGCAGCGGGGGTGTGGGCCCGGTCCAGTCCACGCCCGCTGCCGTGGCGCTGACGGAGGAGCAGCGGCGCAGGATGGAGCTGAACAAGCAGCTGGCCCTGGAGAGGCGGCTAGCCAGGCTGCAGGAGAGCAGCGAAGGTGAGGCGGGCAGAACCCAACCCAGTCTGGATTACTGGCTCCTGGGACCTTTCTGTTCTCTCCCCCCCCCCCCCCCCCCCCCAACTATAACTTTTTTTTTTTTATTGGGGATAAGCATAAATATACATGCGATTTGTTCTCAAAGTTGGCTGGGGTAATAGCTGAGGAATAATGTGGAGAAGAAACTGAGTTGTCCTCTTAATTCAAGACGTTCTTTCCTGTCACTTTGCAGATATCTGCTCTGCTCTGTATAAATCCCCCTGGAGCAGAGGTGATGAGCGGTAGTGACTTGTTGGAATTGTCCCCTTTGTAGATGCATTGCAGTCCGAGTCTCAGTCTCAGCTTGCTGCTGCTACAGAGGACCTGTCCGAAGCGCCCGGGGACCTCCCTGTTCTGGACCATGAAGACTCCGATGCTGGATCTCGGAGTCTGGATCAGGCGCTGACTGACCACGCTGGCCAAGCCCACCACCCCACAGTGCCGCAAGAGCGGGTGACGGGACTGGCGGCTGCGGAGGCCTCGGCACAGCGTGCGAGTCAGAGGTCCGATAGCCCCTCTCCCCGTCAGGCTGAGCCTGAAAAGGTGGATGAGCAGGAAGCCGATAGTGATTGACCGGTTCCTCGTTGTGCCAGTGTGGGGAAACATTGAACTGCTTTTGTCACTCGGGTGGCAATTACTGGACACCTTTTGTATTTAATAATGGTAATGTAATAAATCTATCTTGAGTATAAATATTCTAGAATTATCCCTTTAATGGCCTTTGTGGGTGTACACATGTTGGAATACACACCACCCTGCGGCAGGGCTTCACCAGTGTTGACTTGGTGTCCTGTTATCTGGGCTAGAACAGAAATGCCTGATTGCTTTCCTGCCGCAGGTGTTTAAAAGTAAGTTAGTAACTCGGAATGGCACTTATAAGAATTGGGGTTGATGCTCCTTGAATGTCAGTCTGCTACAGGCCTTAATGGTCGAGTATTTCATTAAAAAGATGAGACGGACATGGGGCCCCTTCTGGCAGGGGAGCTGACCTCATTGCTCCAGTCTGGGAAGTGGTGCCAGAGCAGATCCTGGAGTAAAACTCCCAACCCATCGGCCTGGCCCTCCAGCAAGTGCACTTCTCCTCTTTTTGTACTGTAATGGGAAAATACCCTTGCCTACCTCCTACCCTGCCCTGAACTCCCCCTTGCGTAGGCACAGTAGTCGGCAATGGGTTTTTTTTTTCCGGCTGAGCTCTCAAGATGCTCCAGGACCTTCTCAGGACTTGCACAGATTTTCTGAAACAAACTGCTGTGATAAGAACAGCACAGTTAACAGTATTCAGGTCTTTCAAGAGGACCACCATCTCATCAGCCTCATGTAATAGTTGCTGGGGCAGGTGGGACCAGTTCATGACTACAGGACATTTTACAAAATTGTAATTTTGTTCTTCTGTCTGTGGTGTTAAAGAGATGCTGTAAAATAAACTTATGAAAGGTCTTGCGGCCCACTTGGAAGTTTTCTCTTTTAAATCTTGTTTCCTGAGAACGTGTTTTGAATGCTTGCAGGAATGCAGCAATTTAATTGAAACATTGTGCTGCTGTTACACAGTGCAATGCAAAAACATTTCCTAATTGCAGCCAGTACCTTAATCTAAACTGAAATCTGTATTTGAAGAAAGTGTGTAACAGTTCTGTGATTTTGTTTAAATGAACTCTTCTTTTTCAGGAGCTAGCATTTCAATTCCTTTATTTAGTGCTGTAACTAAAGTAAGAACATAATCTCACTTGCAGGGGTGAGGCTTCCTGCAGCAAGGTGAGCTCCACTGTGCTGCCCAAGGGCCCACCCTAGCCTCTCTCTTCCAGCCCCTGCGCAGGAGGGAGCTCGGAGGAACTGGGTTTATATAAGCAGGGAATACAGTACAGTATTTGTGGAAAAACAGACACCGCTTCTGTTACAAGTCTATATTTGTCCACTTTATTACAGTTTGAGCTGCCATTTTCATTTAAAACAGTGTTACAGCTTTCCCATATTTGGTAAAGAATAAAACATGCTGTACGTTATAAGACTTTTAAAACCATGCTCTTTCCACCCAAAGCTGAACTGTAGGCATTTTAAATACATCAGAAGTTTACAAAAATATACAATGACTTAAAAAAAAAAAGGATTACAATCTAAACTTGTTCCCTGGCATAAAAAAAGCATCAGTGCTACCACGTCAGTAAATTTCAGTGCTTTAAAAATATCCCCTGAGGAAATGGTGGCTGTCTTGGTTCAGTGCACTCCACTAAGCTATACCTTCAAAAAACAGAGCTACAGAATACTTTGTACAAATGACAGAAATGGTTGTGCAAAGATGAAACAAAAGCCCACTCGTAGAGCCTTCTCCCTCTTATGGCTAGGAGTTAAGCGTATTAAAATTTTGTCCAAATGTTTTGCGATAGTAAATGTTTTGCAACTCTTCCAAGTTGCAGGGAGAGACTCTTCACTTTTACTTTCCCCCCTTTTAGAAATGTTTCAAAATGGGTGGAAGATTGAATTGGGACAATGCAATCGTGTCCAGACCAGAAACTTATTTTTCCCCTATGAAACCTTTAAGCAAAGGATCTCACTATTCTGGGTTGACTGGCTACTTTGGGACAGTGGTCTGATTAGGCCAATTATGCGTTAATGTAGATCAGTAAGAGCTCCCCTGTAGTAGAAATCTGTAGCCAGGACAGGAACCCCCAAAACTGAACAAGCCCGTGTTAATTGTGGGCCAGCGGGGGTTAACCGCAGAGGCACGCGGGCACCTGCAGGGGAGTTGGGCGGATCCGCTCACTGCTGGCAGGCAGACGGGTCCAGCAGTGCCAGCTCTCGGATCTCTTGCAGAAGGGAGTACAGCGTGATGCCACTGCTCTGCTGGAACTCCTGCTCCTCCCCCTGCAGCGCGGGCGCTCTGCCCTGCTCCTCTGCCAGCTGGGACGCCTCCTCCGCCCAGCGAACCACCTCCTGCACCAGCTCCGCCTTGCCCGCTGCCGCCCGCTGCCCCGCCCGCGCCTCCGGCCCGCCGCTCTCGTGCGGCCTGTTGCTGACCACCTCCAGGCACAGGCTGTCCGCGTGGCACCGCGACGGCCGCACGGAGATCCGCACCTGCGCGGGAGAGCGGCGGCCGTGAGGAGGGGGCGGGGCGAGGGGCAACGCGTGCCCGAGAGGCAGAGGACGAGACCGCGGGGATACTCACGGAGACGTGGTCGAACAGGCTGAAGGTGTGAGTGCCCTCGGCGGTGCTGGTGCAAATCCGGTCCGGGAATCTCTGCAGCGAGCCCGGCTGCCACTCGCAGCTCCCATCATGCCTCAGGCTCAGCACCTGGCCCTCCCGGCTCCTCAGGTACGCCGCAGCTCTCACCCCGTACCTGCAGACGCGCACCAGGAAGGCCCGACACACTAAGTCAACCCATAACTCCAACCTGGGAAAACCTTAGCTTCTTCGAATTGTTGTGCCAAACCGAGGGGGCAGTTATGCAAGTAGCTTATTTTCTTAAGATGCATATAGAATTTTTCTTGAGGTTTTTACAGTGCTTTAATCAAGACGGTTGGCTATTAAAAGTCCCTAGAGCCTAATTAGATCTCGGCTACAGTTCTAGAAAGAAGAAGTGTGGGCAGACTCCTTCGACTGGCCCACCTTTGAGCCGCTCGTCTTTAAAAGCGTCGCAGGCGGCACAGCCCCGTGCTGCAGGAGAGGAGTGCCTCTCAGGGACCGCGCTGCACCCAGGACGCCAGGAGGGGGCGCTGTGTTGCCAAGCACTGATAGAGCTGACTCTACCACCCCACCCTTGGTGGCCATGCTCAGCCACTTGCTTGGGGGGGTCTCAGTCGGCTAACGGCTCGAACCCGTGATCACAGAGCCCAACCCGCACTAAAAGAGAGAGCCCTGACCAGCTGTGCTACCTGCTACCCGTGGGACACTGTTTCAAAATCAGGCATGACTGGACAGCTGCAAATTGCTGTACCATCAGCAGACCTGGGAACAAACACCAGAACGCCATTGGCCCGGATGGCGTAGATCACTCCATCGGCTGTGCAGCGCTCGTCCGTCAGCGGGTCCTTGTCTCTGAAGTACAGGCACTGGAACAGCTCTGTGGACTGCTTCTGCGCATGCTGGGCCGCCTGCAGGCACAGGACACCACTGTGAGTGCATGCTGGAGGAGAGGCAGTGCTACACTGCTGGGCTTCAGCTCTGGTTCAGTCTCCTTCTGAACTGTGCAATACAGGTGAAACACATTATAACCACGAGAAAGGGCCTAGTTCAGAGCTGCTCAAGCTGTCCTGCATTAACCTGCAGGATCCCAGACAAAACATTGTGGAGTACTCAGGTGCTCATTACTTGGGATTGAATCAAGACTGTCTGAAGTCTGTGTTTTATTTACTGATCAAGAGGATAAGCCTGCTGTGGCTCGTTTATGAGATACTTTTGGAGAGGTGGATGTTATCTACAGCCTTTGGTGGTGTCTCAGAACAAATGTTCCCCCAGCTTGCCATAGACTGTAGTCACCATAGTGACTTCTGATCAAGCATGCTCCATTAGCCCTGCTGCCCTCTACCCATCAATTCCTAATCCCTGCCCTGTCCCAGCCTATACCATGCCCCACCCCTTCCCCCTCCCGGCCCCACCCACCCCTGTCATGTCCCACCCCTTCCCATTCCCATTCCCTGCCTCACCCCTTCCCCACCATGCCCCACCCCTTCCCCCTCCATCTGCCAGCCCCACACTTCCCCATCCTGACTCCACCCACCCCTGTCATGCCCCACCCCTTCCCATTCCCTGCCTCACCCCTTCGCCACCATACCCCACCCCTTCCCATTCCCTGCCCCGCCCTCGCCTCAGCCATGCCCCACCCCTTCCCACCCTGTTCCGGTTATTGATGTGCTGGGCCAGCTCCTGCAGCTCCTTGTTACTGCAGGGGGACTCGGACACCTCACGCCCCTGCTCCTTCTGGATGGCGGCCGTGAGGAGGCGGTGCACGATGACGTCAGCGTAGCGGCGGATCGGCGAGGTGAAGTGGGTGTAGTGCTCCAGAGCCAGACCTGTCACAGACACACAATCGCACCTGGCTAGACATTCAGACCAGCGTTCTGCCCACACCCTCTTACTCAGCGTACCCTCCCTGCACAGCTGCCAGGTTCCAAAAGCACAGACGTCGCCCTTGTTTTAACATACCAGAGAAACAAGTAACAAAGGAAAGACCATAATAATTGGTGACTTTGACTTCCCAAAAGATGTGAAAACCCAGATATCTGAAACTTTCTGGAAGAGAAGGAAATCAAGTTCTTTCTAACCGTCTGTCAAAATAAGGAGAAGTTTATATCGACCTGGACTTTCCAAGCAACCCTGACAGACGGATAAAAACGGCACTGAGAGGGGAACACTCTGCCTGTCTGGGGAGCGTCATGCTGCAGCTCACACTCTCACACAGGAGTGAACGTGAGAAACTGAAACAGGGTGAGACAGCCGTGGAGTCTGCTGCAGGGATGGAGTGATGAGACAGAGGGATGGAGGTGTGTTACGACAGAGGGGGAATTCCTAATCCTGGAAATCTGAAAGACCACAGCTCGCACTCTCCCTTCAGACACGCCACAGCTCCCCTGCCTGGTCTCAGGGCTCGCCTGACAGTTGGGTCTGATCAGGCCTGAGCTACTCTGACACAGACAGTTAAACTTCCTTTTTCGGCAAGCTAAATATTCCCGAGGAAGGGAAGGGAAGCCTGTCCTGAGACTGGGCACGAGGGGGCGTGGTGCTCTCACCGTAGTGGTAGTGCTGGTCCCGCGGGCAGGCGCCGGTGCAGAAGTACTGCGCGTTGGCCATGGCCTGAGTGGCCATCATGCGCAGCAGCTTGTTGACCAGGGAGTCGCGGGGGTCCTGCGCCCGGTCCAGGGAGGCGGCCAGGGCCTTGTTCGACCTGCGGCGGCAAAGTCACACACTGAGCCCCCCCCGCGGACTGCAGCTGGCGCTCTCCGGGGGAGGGGGGGGGCGGCTGGGTCGAGGGGCCTTACTGTGTGTCGATGGTGAAGCCCCGGGCCCTGGCGCACTCCCTGAGCTCCGCGAAGTACTCCTGGCGCGGGGGTGGGTGGTGGCGCAGCAGGGCCTCGTGCGGGAAGCTCTCGTGGATCTTCTTGGCCGCCCAGTGGTTGGCGAAGATCATGCACTCGGCCACGGTCTCGTGCACCTCCAGGGGCTGGCGCGGCACCAGCGCCGTGATGTTCCTCTCCTCGTCCAGCTGCGCTCGCACCTCCACTCCCTCCAGCTCCAGAGCGCCCCCCCTGTCCCGCTGGGCCCGCAGGTGCCGGGCCACGTGGGTCAGGGTCTCCAGCGCCCGGCGCAGCTCTCCCAGACGCTCCTCCCTCTCCGGCGGCCCCAGCCCGCCCAGCTCGGGCAGCTCCTCCGCCGCGCCCCCGTCCAGCAGGCTCTGGGCCAGCTCGTAGTGCAGCTGGTAGGAGGAGCGGATCACCGTGCGCCCCAGCCACACCCGGCGCACCGCCAGGGTCTGCCCGTCCAGCTCCCACAGCATGCTCATCGCGTACCTGCAGCACAGCGCACGCAGACAGGGCCGTCACGAGCCGACACGGCTCACACGAGCGGCTTTACACAGCGGGTCTTCGTCTACTTTCCTTCAGAAACATTCTGTAAACATCCCTTACGAAGACAGGACTCGCGCTGAATTTCTGTGAGCTGCACAGAAACCTTGAGGATGAATACTATGGGCAGTCTGTATTATTCCAGGAGCCTGCCACAAGTGGGGTTCCACTAGCAGTGGTACAGGCCTGGCGTTCCGCTCTCTGCGCATTGAGATTTACTCCCCTGCCACAGCTCTAGGGGCCCACCTGCAGCTTGAGCGGAGCGCTCTCTCACCTGTCCACTCCGCCCAGAAGAGAGCACAGGTCCGCACTGAGGACAGCAGGCAGCATGTCGTAGCGCCGGTCAGCCAGGTAGTAGGTGGTGGCCCTGAGGCAGGAGCGAGAAAAGACGGCTTCATTACATCTCCACCCTCACTGTATTCCGGCCAGTTATGCCAGCTGTATCAGAAAAGTCCAAAATTTCACAGGTCCAGGCAGAATTCCCGCTCTTCAGTAGTCTAACTGGAGGGTCTTTCTTGTTCTTCTCACTGTCTTCCCTCTCCCTCTTACTCCATCGTCCACTCTACCTCTCTCCTCTTTCAATTCAAGGCTTTATTACTCTCCCTGACTCCTTCTTACTCACTCCCTCAGGGCTGTCTCACTCCCCCTCTCTCTCCCTCAGTGCTGTCTCACCCCCTGTCTCTCTCTCAGGACTGTCTCCCCCCCCCCTCTCTCTCCCTCAGTGCTGTCTCACCCCCTCTCTCTCTCTCAGGACTGTCTCACCCCCCCCTCTCTCCCTCAGTGCTGTCTCACTCCCCCCTCTCTCCCTCAGTGCTGTCTCACCCTCTCTCTCTCTCCCTCAGTGCTGTCTCACCCCCC